GGAGTGTCAAGTGGAGAGGTTAGAGTGTAGATAAAGGACATAGATTGATTAACTTGCCTCGTATTGCCAGGTTTAAGGTCATAAATAATAATTAGATCTATAATTAATACAGTTCCGACACGACGGGTATTAATCAAGAAACTCATTTTTTTACACAATTCACAATTCTATACAATGGTTTCAGTGTGCTCCATAAACATAATATTTGACTGATTAAGAAACTTTATTTTATGAGAAAAATTAAATTCAGAATTTTTAACATGAGGCAAAAAATGGAATATGAATTCAACTCCAATGAGGACGGGGGGGGGGGGGATTGAGCGTATTATGAACAGGTATAAAATTTTAGAATGTTGACCTTAAAGAAATGTTTAAACTGCGGATATCGTCAATTCCTTTCTTTATTTCCTTTTCCAGTCTAATGTTTGTAAAAGTAATTTTCATATTAATGCATAATTAATTTTATGAATATTTGATGTGAAGAGAAACTAGACAAACCAAAAGAAAATGTAATTTAATTACGTTTTTGTCAATTCTTAAAAGGACTGAAAACTCCTCAGGGGATTTTGATTTAAAAAATATGATTATTTTAGACTGTGGTTTCTCCACAAAATATGATTATTTTAGACTGTGGTTTCTCCACAAAATTGATTTGTGCATTTTTTGTTTAAGAGGCAATGTAGAAATTATGGGGAAATTATAATAATTTAATATTCAAGCCATACAACGACGTGTTCCCACTTAAATGATCAGATTTAGGTATTAAAAGGTACCATTGTGAATCAGGCATTCCCTCTTTGCGTGAAGGATCACTTGCAAGGACGGGCGGATTTTTGGTAATGTCAATTTGGTAATGACAATTTGGTAAGGTGACAATTTGGTAACGACAATTTGGTAAGCTCAAAAAAGTGACAATTTGGTAATGACAAATTGGTAACAACAAAAAAGTGACAATTTGGTAACGTCATAAAAGTGACAATTTGGTTATGAAAAATTGGTAACAACAAAAATGTGACAATTTGGTAATGCCAATTTGGTAACGTCATAAAAGTGACAATTTGGTAAACGAAATAAAAGTGACATTATGTAAAATTGTTTAATTTTTAGTTTTATATTCAATTGAATTACCAAATTGTCACTTTTTTGAAGTTACCAATTTGTCATTATCAAATTGTCACTTTTTTGATGTTACCAAATTGTCATTACAAAAATTGTCACTTTTGTAAGCTTACCAAATTGTCATTACCAAATTGTCGTTACCAAACTGTCACCTTTCCAAATTGTCATTACCAAATTGTCATTACCAAATTGTCCTTACCAAATTGACATTACCAAAAATCCGCCCGTCCTTGCAACGACCCTTACAGTCCCTTTAAAATTAGAAGAACTTAAGTTAGAAAGATTTTCTTTAAGCTATAAATGCTACGTCGGCAAAAAAAAACTTTTATCATTTGTTAACTGTTTTCAGTCCTAATCTGGGCATAATATAAACCTTTCAGTTAAAAATAGTTTAAAATAGTTAACAAGCTAAAAAAAGAAAATTTCAATTAAACCACTAATGATTCAAACACACGCAAATTAGAAGAATGTGAATTTACCAAAAAAGGATGTTTTTGAAACGGTTTTGAAAGCATAGAATAAGGAAGGGGAGACGTTTTAAAAAAGAGATTTCTTGAAAATGAAAACTAACAAAGTCTAAATTACAACTTTACAAGGCTATTAAAAACACGTTCCTCTTTTTTTTACAGTTTTTCTTACTTGTCTTCCTAAACTATCAGAAATATCAAATTAAGATTTCGTTGATTTTACTGTTTGAGATCCCACAAAAAAGACTTAACTTTTGTGTTATGAATCTCCGGGCATCATGCATTGACCTTTATTTTACGTAGATTTACGAATTTATCTAATTTTTCTTTGAATTCCCATGATGGTTAAACCCCCCTGCAGGGTTAACTTTAATTTAGGGATGATATTTAAAAGTACCCACATTGAATATTGAGATTATGAGTTTAAGATTAACAACAATCTCTGATTGGTTTAACAGTTTCTAGCGTTTACTGGTTGGATTAAAACAAACAAACCGACCACTCAAAGCTAATTATGACTGTAGATTTAAAATATAAGTTTTGTGCTATTTTTAAAATATATTTGTATCCAATTTTTAAAACCTATATAAAGCAACATGGTTGACTATTTTCTATTACTGTAAAACCTATTTATGAATTGACATAAATAAATAAAAACTAAAAACCAAATCGTTAATATTTGATTATTTACTATATACGACTACGTGTAGACTATATAATAATAAGATTTGCTATGGTGAACTCATGTAAAAAAAAAATTTTTACAGTTTGTTATGTTTAGATGGACTAAGCTACGAGCTGCAATGTGTCCGCATACAATATTGTTAGAACCTATATCCGAGTGCATGGTTGCAGGAGGACTTGCAGCCTGGGCTTCATATCTACTATTCAGGTATACAGTAGACATTATATACCAGGTGTCATCATTATATTTCCTTTGAAAAAAAAAATTAGGGGTACTTGTAGAAGTCTCAGTCTGTAATTTTTTTTTTTGAAAGTTCACTTTAGTTTTACCGGAATATTTTTCAGATCTTTATTGTAATGTAAGGAGCGTTAGCTTCGTTCGTCACAGCAAGAAAATTTTCAGAATGGTCTCAAACTTGATTAATCAGAGTCTGTTTTAGACCCTTCAAGAACGATCAAAAGAAAAAAGAGATTGAGTATTGAATGTATGAAGGACTTTTGAGGATTTTTTTTTACTTTGATTTACATTTAAGATCCATAATCAATGTAATCCCTTTGGTCTTGTGTCGGAGATTTTGGGACAAATTTAACCCAGATCTTTGTCATCTTTAAATCTTGCTTTACAACTTCGTTTACAATATAAAATCATATATCAGGTTGTTTGGCAACACATGCTAATATAATTTTAGCAATTTGCAATATTTTTGACTATTTTTGGGGTCTTGATGGTCTTTTCCCGCCCGGACATGTAAAAATCTTTCAAATATTAATTTTTCCCATTGAAGTTCATAAAATTGTTTTAAAATGCGTTCTGGATTATGTTTATGGGTTCTGCTTGATTTTTGCATCGTCTAATAAAAGCATTTTTTGGTAACCAAGCCTCCAAAGTGTCCCTTTCTCTTGTTAATATTCCAGATATATTTCTATGCTGGGACAACGAAGCTAATTCAGCTTTAGGAGAACACTCCTTATACATCAATCTGCTTGGCGCGAAATTGGCCAAAAATGTATCCGGTATAGATATAGTGAACTTAAAAAAAATAGAACTGAGACTTCTAGAATTACCCCTTAGAAAATTTTAGTGAAACTTTTTGATCACTACATATATATAATCTACTATTATATACATATATATAATCTACTATTATATACATATATATAATCTACTATTATATACATATATATAATCTACTATTCAGGTGTAGATATTATATACATATTGCATATACATAATATACAGGGTGTTTTTTTTAAATGTCAATTTTCAAACGCTGATATATCCCATAATTTTGAAAGATATCTAAGTTAGTCTGTGATAACTAGGTTCTCTAAACAGCTAATAAAAAATGAGATTAGCAGTTTTGATAACAAAATATATTTTATATATAATTTATTTTAAATGTATAAATATATATGTATATACAGTGTGTATACAGTTAAATTATGGATTATGAAGGGGAAATACATTTATTCCTTTTAGTTCAACAATAGCTAATGGTCTTACCCCCCCCCTAAATATTCGTCCCTCCCCCCCGGTCTTTACAATAGAAAATCCATTCAGTATTTATGAGTAAAATACGAAGCTTATTACAGGGCTAATAAAATATTAATCACTTTATACCCCCGGCACCCCCTGGGACAATATAGATTTCTGTTTTAAAAATTGGCAGAGTTATACTTATATTAACCGTTAAGTTAATATTTTATCAATTTTACACCTGTTTTCGTATTATATGGCAACTTAGAGTTATAGTTTGTAATTGGTTCTATGGTAACCCCTCCCCCCCCTAATGCTTGGAATTACTGCGAGGCAGAAAGAGTTGCGTAATAAATGTAACGTCGCCTTCCATTGTCCTTTAAAGCGTGGTACTGTGTTCATTAAGCATATTATTAAATGTTTTTGTCTATATTACTTTGTTCTCATCTTTTATAAAGGTATTACGTTAAACTAAACTGAATTGAACGTAATATTGACATGATATGATTTCACGCAGCTTAATGAAGAGCAATTGAGATAATTAAAATAGTTAGAATTTCTAACATTTCATGGGATAAATTTGTATTTCTCACATTTGTGCGTAAAGTCAGAACGGGAGATGGTACGAGGTCACAATGTCGTACTATAGTAATGTCGAATAGATATGAACTTCTTCTTCAGTGGTATTTCAAAGGGGGCAATATACCTCCCTAGAAATCCTACACACATCTAATAAATATCTAAAATAAGTCTTTTTTTGACCCCCCCGGGCCCCACCCCACCTTCTGCCAATTTTGTTGATTAAAATATTGCGTAAGTGCTAGGATTGATATGTGAAGTTAAGTGCTACTAAGCTCCGCTGGAAAATAAATGCGAGGTCATTTATTGGCCTTTCTACTGTAGAGTAAAGAAAAGTTATTATCTTTATTGTTTCACATTGCCAATATACATTTCTTTTCAGTGCCATGATTTTAGTAAATATCTAACTATTTTCTTAGTAAATATCCAGCTATTTGCTTGGTAAATATCCAAATATTTTCTCAGTAAATATCGAGCTATTTTCTTGGTAAATATCCAGCTACTTTCTTGGTAATTATCCAAATGTTTTCTTAGTAAATATACAGCTATTTTCTTGGTAAATATCCAAATATTTTCTTGGTAAATATTCAAATATTTTCTTAGTAAATATCCAGCTATTTTCTTGGTAAATATCCAAATATTTTCTTAGCAAATATCCAGCTATTTTCTTTGTAAATATTCAAATATTTTCTTAGTAAATATCCAGCTATTTTCTTACAACCATTAAATTTTGTAATATTTTAGAACGGATGCTCCATATAGTATTATATCCTGTAATATTTTAGGACTGCTCCTCTAGTATTATATCCTGTAGAATTTTAGGACTGATCCTCTAGTATTCTATCTTGTAATATTTTAGGACGGATCCTCTAGTATTCTATCTTGTAATATTTTAGGACGGATCCTCTAGTATTCTATCTTGTAATATTTTAGGACTGATCCTCTAGTATTCTATCTTGTAATGTTTTAGGACTGATCCTCTAGTATTCTATCTTGTACATATTCTCTGCTGGTTTCTGTCCGATTGGGTTCTAATTCACATAGTTCAGGTAAATTGCCTTATAGTACAGTACAGTACAGATTTACAAATTATACTAATAATTTCAATTCAAAAATATGATAACAACATGCAGTGTTACGCACAAAAGACGATAATTAAATGACAGTTTGAAATTCCTACAATTTAAGATACTGAGGATATTAGTCTTGGAAATAGGTACAATAGGTTTCGTAAAGCCGTCTTTGAAGTCTCATATTTTTGGGTAACCCCGTGTCTAAAGTTGCACTTTGAAATGACTTAATATAAACTTAAAACTTGTGAGCAATTTTTACGATAAATCTACCTAAATGAATTTAACACGATTAAAAAAATTATTATCATCCTATTTATGCTGGTGAATAATGCACTTGCAAATACGGGCAATATATGTACATGTTGGCAAGCTTTTTTGAAAGAAAAACTAAAAATTAATCTTGAAATATTTTAGAATGGATCTCTGCCATTTAACAAATTCGAATTCATGGTAAGTCTTAAGAAAACACATTTCTTCGGATTTGTTCATAGATTATAGAGAGACTTTTGTCTGTGTAAAGATTAAGGCGTTAATCCCTCTTTTTCAAGTGCGGTTCTTATTATACGTTACTATCGCATTTATGCAGCAGTAGAAGAAGGAAATTATGAAAAGTTAAAACTTATCTAGTTAGATCAACCAGAATATCTTCCTAGTTTTTGCTCAGATAAAGGTTTAATGTGTACCGTTGTGAATCTGACATGCAACTCTGTAAATGGAGGGTCACTAGAATGAAGCAACGTCCATACAGTCCATTTGAACTTGCAAAAATTCCAACAAATCCCTTAAATAAAATTTATACATAAAGGGGGAGAACAAACTTGTTTATCTATCTATCTATCTATCTATTTACACATGTACAATAATAATAATATTTACTGTCTAGGTGATGTGGTTGTTTCGTGAGCTAGGTGCTCCGTATATATTCCTCCATGCGTTACTAAACCCAGGAATACGCTGGCGTAATCTAGAATTTAGACTACAATGGGGAGGTAAAGCAGAGGTTATAGTCCATAAACCTACTCAAATAGACTACAAGGAGCAGAAGGATCATGTGACTAAAGACTACAAAAATAAAGATGAATTCAGTTTGGACTACCGGGAGTCGAAAAGTGGACTTTTAGAACCTACTGAATTTTATGTGGTGAAAGAAAGTGGGTACTCTTTGAAAGACTACAAAATGGTCGGGTTAAACGACTATAAGAAGAGTATGATTAAAGACTACCACATGAATGAGTTAAATATCTCCAGTGACTCAGGTCTGGAAATGAAGTCTGTGATATAAGTCATTACGTCTATTTATTTTACGTCACATATACACAAACATGTATAGATATATATAGGTAAATGTTAATATATGTACATACATATATATATATATATAGGTAAATGTTAATATGTGTACAAACATATACTTTAGCTGCGTTTATATACTGGAGTCTCAACAAAAAAGTTGTTTTGCGGAAAACGCGCAAACATTTTATAATTCGTGCAAATTTTAACAGTGAAGTGATGATTCTGCAAAGAAATGCGCAAAGTGAATTATTTGTATTATCTTTAAAACAATGAATGTAGAATCCGGCTCCAATCTAATTAAAAAACACAAGAAATTCTTTAGAATTCCCGTTAAAAGGCGGAAGTATTAAATTTTAACAATTAGATCTCAGTGACATTAAAGTGGTTGAATTGAACAACAGTTCAACGACAAGATTACAGTTCAACTACACCTCTATATCGTTCATACATTTTTAACTTTTCTTATCTCGGCCTATAGTCAATTATTATGAAAAACCGTTTAAAGGATCAAAAACGTTTTAAGTCAACGTTGAATAAACGTTTGCAACGGCTGTAAGGGCACTGTTTGAAATCGTTTAAACATCAAATATAGAATCACTGAGAGTTGAGCATAAGTGGAGCTATTTTGTAGAAAAATAATACTATAAACCTTTTTATTGGTAAATATGTATTCTGTAACTTGATAGTGTCTGTCCTAACATGTTTAAATACTTGTAGAGAATAGGAAACATTCATTGTGCATTGTTTATATATATATTTTCAATTTGTGATTTTACTTCATTTTCTTATTATTAGGATCAAATTTATTGTCTATTGTTTTATTATAGAAAAACTTGTCTTGCAATTTGTAAATATTTTTTTTGTTATTTTTAGATTTAATCCATTGCTGGATTACTTCTTGTTGAAACAAATTGGCGCAAATATCAAAATTTTATATGTTTTATATGTACAGTGTACATTAAGATTGATATTATACTGTACCGGTTTGTACCAGGGCATGATCTCTTATGTGTAGAGTTTTTGTACATAATTCTTGTTGTTTGCAAATTGGGAGAAAAATGTGATTTGAAAGTATAACAAATTGTTGCCCCCAGTACAGTGAAATGTTTAAAAATTGAATAAATAGTATGTCAACGTTTTGTTTTCTGTTTTCAATTTTGATTTGTCATAATGCATTTTTGTGACATTAATTTGAATTAAAATTATGATTTTCGGATATTGCAAAATTTACATGTTTAATATCCAATCCCATAGTTTTTGCCTACTTAGTACACTTTCTGCATACAGGGTTACCTACAAAGGATGAGACTGTAAAGGCAACCTGGAATCCGTATAATATTCCAGGATTAAATTAACTCTTCTGCCTTCAATATTGTCTTGAAATGACTTCTTCAATTTCAAAAATTGCGTAGTCTTTTCTGAAGTTTCATCCTTTGAGGGTAACCCTGTACTCATGATGTAGGGTGACTCTAAAAAATGGATTAATTCTGATGTTCTAAACAGATTTTTTCTTTTGGACATTAAATATCTGCTTAAAATTACGTTTTGATTGAACAAGTGAAATTAGTTAATATGTTCATAGGAAATTATATTTACGAAATAAGAAGATCAGGAAATCTAACGTGTTAACAGAGTTATGAGTGAGTTTCTTGTCGTTTTTTCTACTTTATTGTGGCGACCTCTGTAGGATATTTGAAGAAGGATAGAAATTAATTGGAATAAAATTCAGTAGAGAATAAATTTCCTTTCATAATTCTCGGGATTTTTTATCATTGAATTTAATAGCATTTTTCATTGAGATACATTTTTTCCCTAAAATATTCCGCCCCTAGGTGGTTTTAACTTTTAAATGATGAGACTGGAGAGAATTTATCCAAAATTGTTAAGTTCGAATATGAAGCTCCATTAAAACTGTAAACTTATTTAAATGATCTGAGCTGAAAACTTTAGAATGGGATATCCTTAATCCTGATCGGTTAATAAATCTGGAGATTAATAACAAGAAGAGAACTAGCATTATTTAATCTGGAGATTAAGAAAAAGAGGAGATCAAGCATTGATCTCAATATCCACCATTCTCAAGTTTTCAGCTCTGGTTAAAAAGTATATCACTAAGAAAATGACGTTTCTTAGAAATATTTTTCGCCAATTCGATTCAACATCTGTATACATATTTCTGAATTGTTTAATTTGATGTTGGTATGTTTAAAAAGAAACGCCTAAACGGCCGAACCGATCGGGCCCAATCGTTTTGCGGTAACTCGTATAACACAGGTGTGGCGTTATTTCTGGGTAAACGATAAATAATGGTAGTAGATTCTACGCAGCAAATTTTTCAGCCGGTCACTCCCTTTAAAGGGACTGTTAAGGAAAAATGAAAGGGTTATAGGCTGAAACCTTAACACGTTAGGAATTGATCGCAAACCATACGAGTTCGCATCTTTTTGCAGTTTACGGCAATGCGCACATCAGAAATCTGGTATTTTATCTGAAATTTCAAAATTAGAAATTATATTTATAGTGTACAGAAGTAATTATAATTATACATTGAACTCGCATTAGTTGCAAGTATCAGAATCTTAACAATTAACTTATGTAAACTAAGCTGTAATATCAATCCCTAATGTTAAAACAATTGTCTGTCGCTCAGTAAAACTTGATTGATTCTCAAATATGAGAAATACTTTCACTTAATTAACTGTTTACATTCACAGAATTGTGCGCGAATTCCACGGAAAATTTGCTGCGTAGAGTCTACTACCATTATTTAACGTTTACCCAGAAATAACGCCACACACCTGGAAAGGTTCATGGCCGGTCAAAATTAAAATATGTAAAAATGAATATATATTTTTCCCCTAAAAATCCGCCAATGAAATAAATTTTTAAAGTGTACGAAGAATTAGGGGCGTGAAGCGCACATCAAAAATAGTAATAAAATGTATTGAAGTAAATAATACAGAGTAATGATTAATATGACATTTATGCTTTGTGAAACACTCTGTAGGGACAATTCTGCTTTGTGAAACAGCCTGTAGATACAATCCTGCTTGTGAAACACCCTGTAGATACAATCCTGCCTTGTGAAACACTCTGTAGGCACAATTCTGCTTTGTGGAACACCCTGTAGATACAATCCTGCTTTGTGAAACACCCTGTAGATACAATCCTGCTTTGTGAAACACTCTGTAGGCACAATTCTGCTTTTTGGAACACCTTGTAGGTACAATCATGCTATGTGAAACACCCTGTAGGGGCAATAATACATTGTGAAACACCCTGTATGGGCAATAATGCATTGTGAAACACACTGTAGGTACAATCCTGCTTTGTGAAACACCATGTAGATACAATCCTGCTTTGTGAAACACCCTGTAGGGGCAATCATGCTTTGTGAAACACACTGTAGGTACAATCCTGCTTTGTGAAATACCCTGTAGGTAAAATCCTGCTTTGTAAAACACCCTGTAGGTAAAATCCTGTTTTTTGAAACACACTGTAGGTACAGGGTGTCCCAAAAAACATTAATCTTCTTTGGTTTTTGCGGCTTCGATATGTTAACATATTGCTGAAATCATACAACCTACAATTGTCGAATTAAATTCGATGCATTTGTACAATAGTTGATATTTCATAATATTTAGTTTTCTTTAGTTTTTAATGAATATTTCGTTTAAAGCATGTATTCACGGCTGGGACTTTATTTTCGAACATTCCTGGAAAAATATGAGAATGTCGTCTTCGTTATCAAAAATCCTCGAAATTACAGGAACGTAAGTTTTCAAATCGGATCATGTAAAATAAAAATAAATGTACAAAAACTCCTTTGCTGCGCTCTGGATGTTTTGTAACCAAAATAAGAAAAAAAATACAATACTAGGATCAAAAGAGAATTTTATCAAATAACTAGCAGAACAAAGATGTATAGTGGAATACATAAATGCTGGATCAAGCAGCCAATGGGCACAAAGAAAGTGGAACAAATGAAAACTAGATAAAATAACATTTGAAACAAATGGCATTAGGATCAAATGCCCACTGGATTAAATGACAAATAACAATAGTATCAAATAAAAGCTGGATCAAATAACCAACGGACCAAAAGACCAGTGAAAAAATTACAACTGAATCAAATTACACCATGAATCAAATTACAACTAGATTAAATTACAACTGAATCAAATTACAACTGAATCAAATTACAACTAGATTAAATTACAACTGAATCAAATGACAAGTGAACGATAATAATTCCGAAGTTTTTGGTCGCACTTTTAAAATCCAAATATCTTGACCTTTAAACATGTTACATGTTTCCCAGATTTCACTTTTTCATATTAAACAATTCAGTTTTAGGAAAAAAATAGCGAAAAGAAAATTATTGCGTGTTAGAATTATCGTGTTCTATTCAATTCTTCAGGGGTAATTAGAACACTAACAAATATCCCCCCCCCCTCCAAACCACTCACAATTTAAATGAAAATAGAACGAAAACAATTAAAAATGTCAGACAAACTTTGGCAGGTAAAACTGGAGAAAAACATCATGATATTTAGAATTAACGATATCAATCATTTTTAATATTTCATTTTTCCGATAGTGATCCTGAAATTTATAAATGTTAAACGTTATAAATCATAATTTTTTAAAGTTAGATTATTGACTGTGTGTGTTTGTGGAGGGGGGGGGAGGGGTTTCAAGATAAATAAATAAAAAAAGCAATTTACTTACATAGAAGACAAATTTATAAAAACTGTAGTGATATCTAAGACAATATTGATAATTTTCAAATAAATGTTTTTGTTCTTATTTATCACTTAAATCACAGTGATCTTAAGGTTGCAAACTCTCACGTAAAACTCGATGAGAATTCTACCAATTAGCTCTTTAATACAGTGAGAACCAAAAAACTGTGGGATAGGAAGACTAATAACTCTATTTAAAATGTATTTGTTACAGAGCTAATAGTTTTAAGGGTAGTTTAAATTGCACCCTGCGACCGACGGGTTTACTACATAGCTTAAAACTCAATTTTAAAGTGTAACGTAAGATGTACAGTGTACACTTAACAATTTATTTAAAAAATTACCGTTAGTCAAAAAGTTGTCTTCCTATTCCAGAGTTTACAGAGTTTACTATTCTAAAGATTAAATGTAGTTCAGACATTTTAAACTGCAAGCTAAGAATGCTCCCCTGATTCTGAAGAGTCAAAGTTTTATGCAAATCAGTCAAGGGGTTTCTAAGTTATGATCGGACATACAAGCAAACAGACAAAGATTACTACTTTATATATATAGATGACTAACCCTGCTATATTCAACCCTAAGTATAAACTCTAGAAATCAAGAATTCTCAATTTGATGTGCATTATTTATTCACATCCTACCTAAAGCTTTTCTACAACAGAACATAAATTAATCTAGAATACACAGAGAAATACTAAATTGTTACATAACATGCAGAGATTAATTAACAATACAGATTGAACACTAGATGTCGTCTTTTCAGGATTTAGGTTTTTTTTCGTTCACAATAACCCTGAGGCAGTGGCCCAAAGGAGTCACGCGCAGATTACTCTCTCTCTGTCTTGTAATTCAACGCGGCAAACGCGTATCTCCTTTGGGCCTCCTCCTCAGGGTTATTGTGAACAAAAAACCTCTAAATCTTGAAAAGACGACATCTAGTGTTCTGTATTTTTTTTATCTATACAAAACTGTTTCACGGTGAACTATATTCAGGAGTAAAACTTTAGCAAGCCTTATGTTTAGAACCCAAATTCATCCATTAAATACAGATTATTAGTGTTTGCTTTTTTATACTTACGTATTTTCAATTTTAAGATATATAATGTCTCTTTCGATATTTTTATTGGATTTTGAATGATGGAAAGGATACCCTTTGTTGCAGTTTTAGTGGCTCGGAGGCTACGAAAAGTATACAAATTTAATGGACTGATTACCCATCTCGATACACAGAAAAATCGAATTTTTGGATAAATTTTAGGAGCATGGCATCCTTGTTATATAAGCTTCTTCATATTTCCACCATTTGAATAATATTTAGGGTTTCCAAATTTTCGTTTCATCTCTTTCGAGAAATTTTCGTTCAGCCAACGAAAACGAAAATTTTGTTCATTCTTGCACTTTTGTTAAGAACCCGATATTTTTAAACTTCTAACCTAATCTTTGATTAAACTTTAATATGCTTACTAAATGAAAAGGTAAGCAATCCTTTTAAATCCTCTTTTTCAACACGGACTTAATTAAGAAATTTGAGCTTTCTTGTTAAACAGGGTTACCCCGAAAGAATGAGACTAACTAAAACCAAAAATATTTTTTGCTTTTAGAAAACTTTGATTGAAGAAACGAGAGTTGTGTTGTGTAACTATTATTCTACAATGCAATGCCAGATTCACAATGATACCATGAAAACCTTTATCTGATCAATATTGTCGTTGTCTAGATTGTCAGAATGTTTGATTCTGACAATTCCTTTAAGACTTTATGCAACAAGATGCGCAAAATAATAACATTTCAAAGTGATCATTAAAAAAAACCCTATACATTGAAATCTAAATCAAACTTGTCAGAAAAAGCTTTAAAGGAATTATTGTGAGTCGAGCACTGCCATCTTTGAATAAATTTGGAGGGTCACTTTTAAACATAAATTGAAAATCCCAGATTGAAACACTAGTATGAAAATTTATTGACTATTAAGTATTACATTTCGCGGCGTGAAAACTAATTAAATAATTTAAAAAAGAGCGTTTAATAATATTTAACAATTATAATAATGTGAAAGCAGATTAAATTAATTAAATCAAGGGGCAGGGTTGAGGAGACATTTATCCAAACCATATCTTAGCTTTGTCAAGAGTGACACTGAGATTATTTAACAATTCATTTTTTCAATATAATCTTATTTTATCAAGAACAAACAAAAGAATAAACATTAATGAGAACATTTCATTTTCATTAAAAAAAAATATCAAGAAAAATAGGCATTTAACAATTTCAGGCGTCAGGTCAGACAACAATTAGTTCTTAGACAGGATATATAATTCAAATTTCTTTTATTTTGATGTTGGATAGGTTTAGATATTGCCAGGTGGAGGTTAAATAGGTTTAGATATTACCAGGTGGAGGTTGGATAGGTTTAGATGTTGCCAGCAGGCGGAGGTTGGATAGTTTCAAATGTTGACAGGAGGAGGTTGGATGGGTTTAGATATTGCCAGGTGGAGGTTGGATAGGTTTATATGTTGCCAGCAGGCGGAGGTTGGATAGGTTAAAATGTTGACAGGAGGGGGTTGGATAGGTTTAGATGTTGCCTGGTGGAGGTTGATTATTAGGTCCTGGAGGATTAGCTCCTGGTCCTCCCATCATCTGCCTCCTGAGCTGCTCTACTAGCTCTGGGTTACTGGCCTGCATCTGCTGAGCTAACTGCTGACCTCTGTAATATATCACACTTAACAGACTTTAAAAATGAAAATAACAATAACAATAACAATAACAATAACAATAACAATAACAATAACAATAACAATAACAATAACAATAACAATAACAATAACAATAACAANAATAATAATAATAATAATAATAATAATAATAATAATAATAATAATAATAATAATAATAATAATAATAATAATAATAATAATAATAATAATAATAATAATAATAATAATAATAATAATAATAATAATAATAATAATAATAATAATAATAATAATAATAATAATAATAATAATAATAATAATAATAATAATAATAACAATAACAATAACAATAACAATAACAATAACAATAACAATAACAATAACAATAACAATAACAATAACAATAACAATAATAATAACAATAATAATAACAATAATAATAATAATAATAATAATAATAATAATAATAATACTTACGCTTGAAGTAGTCCTTCAATGTTAGGTGGAGGACCTCCTTCAGATCCAGTTGGAACTCCTGGACCCCCTCCCATACCTCCTAGACCACCCAGACCACCTCCACCCATCATCTGGGACATCCTGAACATGATAATATTAATCAAAACTTTTCTTGCAGTAAAAAATGATAAACATTGAACAGTCATCACTATACAATTTAAATCTTAAAACATTGATAATAATAATGATAATAATGATGACAATAATAACAAAAATAACAAAGAAAGCAAAAATAACAATGATAACAATGATAGCAAAAATAACAATGATAACAAAAATAGCAATTATAATAATATTAAGAATGATAACAATAATAACAATAATAACAATTATAACAATAATAGCAATGATAACAATAATAAATATAATAACAATAAGAACAATTATAATAATAATAACAATGATAACAATAATAACAATAACAATTTTAACAATAATAGCAATGATAACAATGATAAATATAATAAGAATTATAACATTAATAACAATAATACGATAATCTTATAATGATAAAAATAATCTCGGTTAAGAATTTCCCTTATTACATTTTTTTCCTCATAAGATTATCGTATTATTGTCATTGATGTCAAAATTGTTATTATATTTGTTATTGTTATCACTGTATTATTATTATAATTGTTATTACATTGCAATGCAATGCAATGCAATGCATTGCAATGAAACGCAACGCAACGCAACGCAACGCAACGCAACGCAACGCAACGCAACGCAATTCTCAATTAAAAAATCAACCAATTCATCAATTAAATATTTAACGAATATATCAATGAATCAATGAATCAGTCAAACATTCAAAGAAAGAATCACGGAATCAAAGGATGAATGAATCAATTATTGGTGCAACGAAGAAATGAATGTATGAATGAATGATGAATCAGTAAACCAATCTCTTAATCAACTTATAGAATAAATCCCTGAACCAATCAATTATTTCATCAATCAATGAATCAATAAATCAGCCAATCAATGAATCAATCAACGAATCAATCAATGAATCAATCAACGAATCAATCAACCAATCAATAAGTGAACCAATGAAAAGATAAATTAATGAATGAATCGATAAATGAACCAATGTATTAGTGAGCCAATGAATTACTAAATAACTTAATCAGTAATTATCAAATCCATGAATCAAGGAATAATTGATATCAATAAACCAATGAAAGGATGAATCAATGTATCAGTAAATATCGAATCCATGAACCAATGAATCGATGAATCAATGAATCACTAAATAATTGGAACAGTTAATATCAAGTTCATAATCAATGCATCGATGAATGAATCAATGAATCAATGAATCAATAAACCAATGAAAGGATGAAAGGATGAATCAATGAATTAATGTACCAATGAATCACTAAATAAATGAATCAGTAAATTAGTGGATCAACCAATAAATCAAAGAATCAATAACTAAACAAATTAATTTTTCAACTATTCAATTAATCAATCATTCAATTAATAAAGCAATCAAGCAATCAATTAAACAATCAATCAATCAATCACTCAATCAGTCAATGAAGAAGCTTAAAGAACATCTATGTAATATATAATTTACTCACATATTCTGCATATTAGGATCCTGGAGCATAGTGCTGGCCATGTTCATGAGAGCAGGATTATTTAAAAACCCTCCGAGGTCAAATCCTCCAGGTCCCATGGGTAATCCTCCAAGGCCGGGCATACCTCCCAAACCTCCTCCTCCAGTAGTTCCCATGGTGCGAACCTGGAAACAAATTCAAATTATTATTTTAAATTCATAACATATTCCTGAATAAGCTAAAGCCCCATTTAGAACACTTTTTTAATGCAATTAACTCATCCAGACAAAGATAGTTGTTTTATTAATGCTATACAATCAGAAGAAAGCTCTGCAACAGAATTTCTTCTGGAGAGTTTGGGCTTAGGACTATCAACCCTCGTGCATCAGGGACACCCCGACCCTTCTGCAGATCTGCATATCCAATGTCAGTGACAGAAACCCAGCACTTCACATTAAAACCTTTCGTTTCCAGGATTATTACTTTAAATATTAGTTAAAATTCAAGACATTCCGAAGAAAGCTTGGCCGCAGAATTTATAATTACTTAAAATGACCATCCTAGAGTTTCTCGAGAAAAAATGTATGAACAAAATTAACAATTTTTATCAAGGTAAACAATGGTTTTTGTTGTGCATATTGTTTATTTCCTAAATCAATAACTAGAAGAAAATTACCAAAATCAATTGCCAAAAATACCGTTTTTAAATATGCATAAATTTTCAATATTACAAAAAATGGGATATTTTTAAAAAACTCCCTTAAGGGTGAACTGGCCGCCTTTAAGAGTGCAACTATGGTGTTTTCCTGTCAATAAACTAAAAAGCTCTATCCACACCTACAGTATACAGTATACATAGAACAACTTGTTGCATGTTGATTTTTGGAATATTCGACCAAAATAAATAATTTTTCAGTTAAATCAATTGGTTCACTCTAATAAAAGGGTCAATCTTAGAAACTGAAAACTCTTCTCTAACATTTTTTATCACTTACTCGTCGCAACTTGATTGTGTAAACTTATGAACTTTGAAATAAAAACTTGAGGCGAGTAATCAGTTTCTTCTATTGACAGACTCCCGAGCTATCCCTGACCTTATCTTCTGCTATCTGTAGGTTGGATTTATAACTCTCGTTATCAGGTTCCAGCTCTAGTGCTTTCTTGAAGTTATCCACAGCCTCCTTATGCTTCTCCAGGCTAGAATTAGCTAATCCCATTCGTCCGTACGCCTCAATAATAATATTTTATCACCAAAGATTGCAATAAGAAATAGCAATTTTTTATTCAAGAATTTAACTTTGTCAATAAAGATGTTATTATAAAAAATTGATAACAATTTTTGTGTAGTTTTTTTGGAAATTGTATTTCAGACTTGTATTTCAGGATTAATACTACTGTAGTTTTTAAAAAATGTGGAATTTTAATCGTCTTTGTTTTTTCTTTTCCTTTCTATATGTGTAGTCATATGTATTATGTAATTGTTTTAACTGACATGTTTTAAAAATGTAAGTTGAGGACACATTTTTGGAAATAAATAGATACAAAATACAACATTCTTAGCGATATGTTAAAAAAAAAAGAACCAACCACTGTTACTAAATGACTGTTCTAATCGTACCTTCCTGAAGTTAGCAGCGATATCTACTGCTCTCTGTCAATCTTCTATTGCTAGATAGTAACTGTTCAATATATTACCTTGCTATATGTAGCATCCATATCTACTGCTCTCTGACAATCTTCTATTGCTAGATGATGACTATTCATCTTACTATGGGCAGCAGCTCTATTACAGTAAAAAACGGGATTACTTCCATCAAGTTCGATTGCCTAAACAGAAATATTATTTTATTTTTCGATGTCATTGAACATAGAACATACCGCATACCGCATACTTATTAAAAACAAATAAATAAAAATAAAGAATCCAGTATTTGTCCAATTTGAAATTACAGTGAAAGAACAAGAAGTGAAAAAGCAAAAGTCAGTAAACTTCTATATTCTACTTGTACATAGTAACTTTGACCTTTGAGAACGTATGAGCGTCAGTAAACTTCTCTGTTCTACTATTACACAATACAGTACAGTACACAATTCTACCTTGAAGTACATAAGAAGAGCGCCAGTAAACTTCTATATTCTACTTGTACATAGTAACTTTGACCTTTGAGAACGTATGAGAGTCAGTAAACTTCTCTGTTCTACTAGTACACAATACAGTACAGTACACAATTCTACCTTTGATTACATAAGAAGAGAGTCTGTAAACTTCTCTGTTCTACTATTACACAATACAGTATAGTACACAATTCTACCTTTGAGTACATAAGAAGAGCGTCTGTAAACTTCTCTGTTCTACTAGTACACAATACAGTACATAACACAATTCTACCTTTGATTACATAAGAAGAGCGTCTGTAAACTTCTCTGTTCTACCATTACACAATACAGTACAGTACACAATTCTACCTTTAAGTACATAAGAAGAGCGCCAGTAAACTTCTATATTCTACTTGTACATAGTAACTCTGACCTTTGAAAACGTATGAGCGTCAGTAAACTTCTCTGTTCTACTAGTACACAATACAGTACAGTACACAATTCTACCATTGAGTACATAAGAAGAGCGTCTGTAAACTTCTCTGTTCTACTATTACACAATACAGTACAGTACACAATTCTACCTTTAAGTACATAAGAAGAGCGCCAGTAAACTTCTATATTCTACTTGTTCATAGTAACTTTGACCTTTGAAAACGTATGAGCGTCAGTAAACTTCTCTGTTCTACTAGTACACAATACAGTACAGTACATATTTCTACCTTTGAGTACATAAGAAGAGCGTCTGTAAACTTCACTGTTCTACTATTACACAATACAGTATAGTACACAATTCTACCTTTGAGTACATAAGAAGAGCGTCTGTAAACTTCTCTGTTCTCATCAAATTGTTTCCTTCAGTCTTGAGGCGTTCAGCTTCCTCTTTGTCCGCTGCTGAGGGGGGTCCTTTCTTCTTCAACTTTAAATAAATATTTTTTTAAATAGTTTGTTGCTCTTCCCCCTTTCAACCTCATCAAAACTCTCAAACCAAACCAAACCAAACTCCTACAAGTAACTTCTATATCCTTACAGCCTGACCCAGAACCCTCCTAAAAATGTGTGATCCAGGAAATAGAAAAGTTCAAGTATGTGGGTAATCAAATAATCATGACAACTAAGAGAATATGATAATATATGTGGATAAAAATGTAATAATGGAAATTCTTAAACGAGATGAAATCAAGATTATTTCATCGAGTTTAAGAATTTCCATTATTACATTTTTATCCTCATAAGATTATTATTATATCATATTTGTGAGGTTCCATGGGCACATACCCAAGAAATTATATTAAAAAATAATTCTGGTAAAATCCGACTATTCTAAGTGGGAACAGTTAACATTATGAAAGGTTGCAAATAAGTTTCATGCTATTGTTCTGACTATCACTGTTTTCTTATTTTTCTAATATTAAAATATTAAAAACCATTTTATAAGTAAAAATTGGTTCTTAATTTGAAAGTAATGCATGTGGTGTAATTGTTTCCTTAGTTTAGTTTGTTTGTTAACCAATTTCTAATGAATTTGCTTGTTTTTAAAGTTGATACTACATTTAGATACAGCATGTTGAATGTGCCCTGAGTTTTTTTTTTAGATGGGGAGAAGATATTGCAATGGGTTGTCTTAATCTACTAAACAAAATCGTGAAATCATTTACAGAAGAAATCATTTCCTGGATATTAGATCCTAAATCTTCCAAAAAGATGAGAAAGCAGGTTATCCACCAAGAACCAGTTCTACATGAACTGATGAAGATCCTTGTCTTCTATTCATGAAGAAAGATTTACTGGTTTCTTTCATTGCTATGGATTGCTAAGACCCCAATAAAAGTTTGTGACACTAGTATTTCAATGAAAAAATTCTATAAACTAACATTTTTGGTTTTGATTGTGGTTTCACTTCATCATCTCGAGCTATGCGAGATATGGTGACTGCTGACTCAGGCTGATGTACTTTAAAACTTTATAAAGTGAAGAAAAAAATTAATTGAAATTGTGAAGACATGACAAACCTGTCCATTTTTGAAAAGCTCTGACCGTACTATTACAAATTTGCAGAGATTTGCAAAATTTCACCAAACTTGGTTTGCAATGAAGAAAAACTAAAAACAAATTGAAAAAAGAAGGCAGTCGGGCAGTATGCTTTGAGACTCGGTAGTTTGATGAAAATGTCCAATGGAAGGCTTAAAGTTTTAAGTACATGGTTATTTTTTTTTTGGAAAGGTCAGAAAATGTTAATTAAACATGTGGGGTTCCAATCTTCTGTCAGGACTAAGGTTAAGATTTAAATAAAAATTCCTGAATTAAAATATATCAATACTTCAAAAAACGAAAAAGGTAAATGAACATGAAAAGGTAAGTGAGCATGTTTTAATAAACTAAAAAAGGTAAGTTTGCATGTTTTAGTATTTAAGAATAAGGCAAGTGAGCATGATGTTATAGTATAAAAGGTAAGTTCGCATGTACGAATATAAAAGAAAAGTCGAGTGTGCATGTTGTCAGTACAAAATAATTAAGTTAATATCAATATTGATCTATACTGAAAAGATCAATATAAGGAGCGTGTAAGATTGAATATTCTTCAACTAGTTTAATAATTTCCATTCTTTAATGCTTGGAGCGTGTAAGAATATACATTCTTTTACGCTCTGACCGTGTAATAATTTCCATTCTTACACGGTCTGAGCGTTAAAGAATGAAAATTCTACACCTAGCGAGTGTAAGAGTAAGCATTCTTAAACGCTAGGAAGCGAATAATATTAAAATTGTTCCTCCTGAACCGTGTAATAATGGGAATTCTTACACGATAGGTTTACTACTATGGAACCGAACAGATATGATATAATACTTTTATTGATTTCCGAAAATTAAAAAATGCAAGAATGTAAAAAAAAACGTTAGGACGTTTTACGAGCTTTTCAAAACATGAACTGCTTTCGTTGAATTAGTAATATTGACGGAAAAATTTAGAAAAATTGCAGACAACAATTTAAAAATCCCGAGATAAACATTCAAGAAAAAGGGCCGTGATTGACGGCGTCATTCAATTTGGTGTTCAATGGTCATGGAACATCATGTCTCTGAGCTTACATGGTATAATTCACATGTTTCATCTTCATTCCCTATTATTTTCACTTGCTGTTTAATACAATAATTGTTAGTTAAGAAGCAGGAAAATTTTTGTTTTTTCTTACTTTTTTCTTTCTTAATAGTTTGCGTGATTTATGGGAAGCAAATTCCATGGCGATTATTTTTTATCCTTTTTATTTTATTTTTTAGTTATTCGTTTATTATTCTCATGTTTATCAAAATCTTATAGATATGAAAATTTATTTTTATTTTAATTTATACATTAATTTAAATTACTATTCTCAAATTAAAAGGGATTACAGCATTAAACACTAGCTTGCTATCTAAATCTAGTTTAATTCTAATTTTATATTGTTCCTTCTTTCGTTTAAAGAACAATACCAAACGAGACTGCTTAATTAAAGTATTTCAAAATAACGAAATTAAGCTTTTATTAACAATTGACATTGCAATAACTTCAGAAACCCTAAAATATCATTTGTCAATAATAATAAAATACATACCGGCTCATTTAGAGTAGCAGCTTTAAATATTTCTTCTAACGTCTAATTAAACAGTAAAAAATTCTTAAAGAAGGAAAGGAAGGAGGTCGAAGCAATTTTTTCTTTTTTTCTTTGGACTGAAAATCTGTTTTGAAATTTTAATTTTGCAATTATATTCCCGGATTAGGACCATTCTAATTCAATTATAAGTAAGTGATATTCGTTTAGTTTATCAGTGCGGCTCGCTTTATTTTAGTGGAGGCTCATGACGACTAGGGTGTCCAACCCTCGTGAATGAATCAGCGGATAAATAAAATGCGATATCAACTTGTTAATTATTCACAGGTTCACAGGTTCAAGGATCAAATAAATGTAGCTTTGACGAGGGAAGAATAGAAAACTAAAAAATCAGGGATTTTCAAAATGTTTGAATTTTGAATAATTTCCTGAGAAACATCAAGATGTTTGTCCTCAAGGTTGAGTGCATAGGCGGACTGTAGGCACTGGCTTGCAACCTAATCATCACAACGAAAAAGTAAAATATTCTGTAAAATACATATTGAATTGTAAACATAAGAGCATGCATGAAATCAAGTTAAAAATGTAAGAATTTGCAGCCTGCAACCTGATTATCAAAATAAAAAGGCCAACAATTTGTAAAATAGTGAAACCATTCAAACTATTGAAGATGAAGACTTCTGTTAAGACTCTCTTATGATTTTTATGTAAAAAAAGCAACTGTAAAGCAACTTAATAATTTACAAGCTAGTGATAAAACTATTGGCTTTTTATCAACATCAAATACACACAAGATTGCTGGTAAATCGATAACAGAAAGCTTTTTAACAACAAAACAGAAATTACTTGAAATTTTGGTAATTCCCGATTCACAGTTCTGGTAATGGTTCTAGTGTAACGAGTCAATATCAAAATGACTCGCGCATTTCTATACATAGAAATTATTAGAAATTTATAATTAAAACCTAAAAAACCGACTATATTTTTCACATCATTTATCAGACAAATGTTTTAAGGGTTCCATTGTGAATCGGGCATTGCCAATTTTGCATGCCAAAAATACATTAATTTATTCGATATGAATTTTTGCGATAAAAAAATATGTAATTTACCTCTAAGCTTTCCTTAGCATCATCAGAAAGTTGGTTGGATTGCATTTCTGCCGAACAGAACTTCAAGATGGAAAAAACCAACCTTCTTCTATCACTCATATTTATTCTCTGGAAAAATAAGGCACTGAGAGATTGTATCATGATTTCAACAAATGCGTCATTGATAATTTGGGAATATTTTATTTGAATAGGTTTCCGACGAGGTTTGCCAGGAAGCGCATGAACTGGTCCTCCTGCTGCTTGCCCCCTGGTTGAGGTGAGGAGGGAGGAGCAGGAGATCGTGTGCCTCGATGTAGGCCTGGAGATTTACCTCCTCGGGTTTGAAACCTTCTCCAGGTATCAGTTATAGATCCAAGCTCTGCTCCAAGCTCTCGTCTAAACAATATTATTCGAATTAAAATAATCTGGTTTAAAGGGGGTGATCATGAAAAATAAAAACTTATCACATCAATTGTCAATATAAATTCGTTCAATCTATGTTTCTGTATGCCTAATTGATATAAACTGTTTTACTGCTCCCCGAAAAATCAAGAACAGATTAAAATCACATCATCAAAAATGTCATCAAAATTGAGCAGATTTTATGGTATTTAAACAAGTTACGCTCATATCCTATTTAAAAATCTTAATATTTTTTGTAATGTTTTATTTTAAGTGAACACTGAACACCCTCATTAAAGGAATTGTGCGAAATGCTTTCATATATTTGGTATAATGTTAAGTGTCAATGGTTAATTGCCAAGTTTCAAGTGTCGAAGTGTCTCGTTCATGGTCTTGTGGTGTCAAGAGTCTAGTATTAAGTGGTAATTGTTTCCTGTTTGGAGTGTCAAAGTCTAATGTTTAGTGTCTTTTGTCCGATGCTTAATTTATTAGTGTCTAGTTTTTCAATGTCTGATGTCAAGTTTTCAATGTCTTTTGTCCAGTTTTCAAAGCCTACTGTCTATTTTTTAATGTCTAATGTCAGTTTTCAATGTTTAAAGTCTACTTTAGCTGTTTTTCTCTAAGTGATTTTCTCTAAGTGATAATTGTGAATGAGTGTTAGAATAAACAGTTTTCTAAGTCTATTGTCTAGTTTTTAATGTCTACTGTCTAGTTATCAAAGCCTATTGTCTAGGTTTTAATGTCAAATGATCAGAGTCTATTGTCTAGTTTTTAATGTTTAATGTCTATTTTTCAATATCTAACTACACTATTACCTAAGTAGCTGGTTTTCTCTAGGTGATAATTGTGAATGAGAGAGAGTAAGAATAGACTGTGAGAGTAGAAGCACCAAACTTCGCTCCAGAACCATACTCAGGCCTTTCGCCTCTGTATTTAAAAGAAAAAATCAACAAAATAATCATTTTTAGAATATTTTTCCACAGAGCGGAGCAGCAACATTTTTTTAAAGGGTTTTATTCACTGAATTGGGGGGAAAATTTATTTATTTTTGAGTGAAAGTATTAAAAAGAATAAAAAAGTTGTATCTTGATGTTCAATTTTTCATTTCCCCCACAAATCATCAAAAATCATACCCTCCGGGGGGCCGATGAAAAGGGGGGATTATACACCCCTGAAAAAAAAAAACAATTTTCGACCGATTTTATAGAGTTTACCTGGATAATCCATTGATAGTTTAGATCTGCCTGTTGAAGATCTGGCTGGAGAAGGAGATCTATCCCTGGTTAAACTCCGTACACAGGTGTTAGCTAGAGCTATCAGGGTTCCATAGCTCATTAGACCGGTCTGCTCCTCCTCCAGGGTAGGACTGGAGAAGGAGAGGGAGAGTAAGATCTCCCATCTGTCCGGATCCAACATGGCGTCTCCGGTCAGTAATCCGGTGAGATCCGGTGAGAGAGAGATGAGTAGAGAGAGACAGGAGAGGGATATATCGGTGAGGTGAGCGTGCGCGCTGGCAGCTTCAGGAGGAACCAGCTCAACCTCTACTTCACTACAGCTAGCACTAGATACTCGTCTGCATCGTAGAGTATCCTCTTCATTACCTACTCCAGAGGATACCTGGATATACATACTTTAAAGGAACTGTTTATATGAATTAAAAATAGTTTTAACAGACATAATAAATAAATTAATAAATAGTCAACCATCATCCCGTGGGAGTCGGTGTTAAACTCTTATCTAACCGCACCACCTTTTTCTATCTTGTCTTTGCTTTAATTAAAAAGAAGCCATCCCGGACCCCAAGGTTGATAGGGTTCATTTGGGAATCTAGACCAACTCTAGACTCTCTTGAATGAATTCTTAAACATAATTTGTCACCTTCAAGATGGAGGCGAGTAGGGTAGGTCGCATCAGTAGGGCAGTGGAGTAATGAAGTAGACTGCAGCAGCATCTAGTATTGATCAGGGCTGACATTTAAACTTAAATACCAAGTAAAGACTCGAGGTTTAGCAAAGAATTTAGGAAGAAAAAAAACCATAGTTTTTTTTATCAAAAAACCACCATTTTTTCAAAAAAAACCCAGCCCAGTAGGTTTTATTGTTTTTAAAAATTTTTTTTTTTTTACTTTTTGGGTTTTTCAATTTGAAAGTAGTTAAAACCTACTAAAATTCATAGTAATTCATAATTATAAGACTTCTTAATCAATAGGTGAACTTTCTAGTTATGAAAATTAATAAAGTTGTTTTCATTATAGATATTTATATATAAATACTCTCTAAATACAATAATATCACCTCTCCTAATCATAGGGGGAATACTGCAATTTTTTTATATTGTAGTTCTCTAAATTACAGACTATTTCTATTTTCTCACTTTGATACATATTTCTGATTAATTGCTAGATATTTATATACTCAAAAAGGAAGAGCACTGTTAAAAACCGAAAAACTTCAGCTCATTCACACATAAATATGAAGGGGATTTTGTATCCTTGTTCTACCGCTACAAATTTTGAAAACTCTGATGTAGTTGTGTGTATCTTTTTGGGGTTTTTAATATCTTTAATACTTGTTATTAACAATAACAATCACTGCAGATGATCGATTGCTTCAAAAGTTTTCTACTATTGGATTTGTCTGGTCTATACCAGAAACCGTCTTGAAGTCCAGAGTGACAAGGTTGACTACTTTCAACTTTGCTTAATTCAATTTTTTTTAAATAACTCACTATTCGAACAATATTCATTTTTTAAGATTATTGGTTTAAATCTTAGGAAATGGATAAAAGTGTCAGTTTAAGGGCTGTAAAATCCTAAAAATCAATACAGTTGAAGAGTTTCATTATAAGAGTAAAAAAGGCAAAAATTAAAAAACTCTTTAAAAAAACCCAAAAAAGCCCACTTACAGGCACGGTTTTATCAAAGTGGGTTTTATTGGGGTTTTAGGGTGTTTTTTAGGGCTGTTTTTTTTTATGCCAACCCCGGACTTGGTTGGTGTTTTATATGGATTATTTATAATTCTGTGGACAATTGCCAAATGGAAAAATAGTTTTAGTCGTTTTTAAAATATCAGTTTAATAAAGTTTCAACAATCAACATGTTTTCGCAAATTCCTGATATTTGATTTATAAGCTTTTCTTAGAGAAATAACACTTTTTTGGCAAATAGTTTTTATTTAATGAATTAATGCACTTGCTATCTTGCTATCTGCTATCTAGTTTACCTGATAATGAGTTGAAGGCTGGCTGAATGCTCAGACCGCCAGGTAGAAATATACTTGCTGAGCAGAGCAACAAACCTAGCAGCACTAGCTGCTCCAGCTAGTCCGGTCAAGTCACTTCTAATAAAATCAAAATATCGGTCAATGCGCTAAATGAAGCGGATCTGATCTACAAGGAAACTGATAAATTACCAAGAATTTTTTCGACATCAATATTTACAATACATAAAAGTTGTAATATATCCCTCATCTTAGCTTTTGTGAGAATTCAGCACTTCTTAGACTGGGTTTTGTTTATATTTCTACTTTGTTAAAATTATATTAATATTTTTAATAATATTAGTACAGAGATATGTTTGTTTAAACTAGCTGCAATTTCCAGTGTGATGAGTTTGTGGTGAACGTATACTGGGTTACCAGCAAAAAATTAGACTTTTAAGACGCCCTGAAACTCTTTCCTGTATTAAATAATGGTCTGGCTAGGTGTGCACCTACTTTATTAATATGTAAGAAAAATGCACGAATTAACCCTAAACAGTTGTCTCTGAAATCTCATATTTTTCTGGATACCCATGTTTAAAGTAAAAAATAGATTAAAACCATGGAGTGGAGTTGAGATGTATTCGTGTTAATTGAAGTTCTGTCTAGTAGCTGATACTGTAAAGATTAATTATAGAACTCCAGCCACACAAGAGAAAAACAGAATAAAATAAATAAATTCAAATATGGATGAAACATAAACATGAACCAATTTATAATTTCGCTCTCTTCAAAATAAAATAAGTTTCGATAAAAAATAAGTTATTTCTAGATATTTTAAGTACAAAATATGGTGCCAATCTAAATTCCCCCAAAAATGTTTCGCACAATTTTTTTCTCGCTATTTTTTATGCAGAATCTTGATTTTGTTGTTATAAGCGATGTTTTGGCAGGGTTCATCCAGCTCACTAGTATACCAGCCTCCTGGAGAAATAGGCCCAAAAAAAAAAATGATTAATTATTTACCTAGGTTTCATGAGGTCTGCTACAAGCTTGTCTGAGAGTAACGCCGTAGCAGTTATTGCAGTCTGGAGTGCTTGTGTTCTAGCAGTCCGGAGCAGGGTTCCAGTTAGCTCCAGTCCTACTAATCCTACTCCAGTCCACTCTACCAAACCTTATATTCAGAATAGTATAATATCAGTAGTAGGGTTCGCGTTAGCTCTAGTCCTACTATTCTTACTCCAGTCCGGTCTACTAAACCTTATATTCAGAATTGTATAATATCAGTAGTAGGGTTCACGTTAGCTCTAGTCCTACTATTCTTACTCCAGTCCGATCTACTAAACCTTATATTCAGAATATTATAAAAATCAGAAGTAGGGTTCCAGTTAGCTCTAGTCCTACTATTCTTACTCCAGTCCGCTCTACTAAACCTTATATTCAGAATAGTATAAAAATCAGAAGTAGGGTTCCAGTTAGCTCCAGTCCTACTAATACTACTCCAGTCCACTCTACCAAACCTTCATATTCAGAATAGTATAAAATCAGTAGTAGGGTTCCAGTAAGCTCCAGTCCTACTAATCCTACTCCAGTCCACTCTACTAAACCTTCATATTCAGAATAGTACAATATCACCAGTAAGATTTGATTTAGCTCCAGTCCTACTAATCCTAATTTCCTCAACTCTACCAAGCATCAGAAGTAGAATTAAATGTTTTATTCACAATATTAACCTTTAAATAGCTATGACTCAGTAAAAATTGATATTCTTTTTCATTTTGAAAATTGATAATTTTAAATTACGGAGTCTCTGAAAAAGTGACTTATAGATTTATGCTGATTAGACAAGGAAAAATATTGACATAATTTACCTATTCACACGACGATATCGTTTACATTGATAACCGGGTTTAGGTTTAAAGGGTATAATTGTGAATCCGTAATGTAACTCCTTTGAAGGTCACTTTTTCACAATCGTTTCTCCGTGGCAAGAGAGTTTCTCTTTAGTCTTTTAACTAACCTGCTACGTCTGAGAGCGGCAACCATATCTCCTGCGCTAGATTGTGAATAAGCAGCGCAGCTGCTCCACCCCTGGACACAGCGATCTCAACCAGCAGCTCTAATATTCGTTGTACAAAGGAGGGAGCAGCTTTGTGTCGGCAGCAACCTCCAGCAGCTGATAGTAGCAGCTGTAGAGTAGCTTCACTATGCAGTTCTGACAGCCATATTTTATCCTAAGAACATGCCATCAATCACAAAGAGACCAAGAAATCAATAAAATTATTAATCATTCAGCAAAAAAATCAATCAATCTGCACAGTGCACATCCTTCTATCAGTTAATCAATCAATTTATTAACCAATCAATTAATCAACCAGTCAGATATCAATTTAATTCTTACATCTTAAATCTTACATTCAGCTTATCAGTCAAACAAAAAATCAGTCAATCAAACAGTCCAACAGTCAATCTTATTACTCAATTAATCAGCTAATCAAACATTCGATAAATCAATCAGTTGGTCATATAGTTAGTCAATCTGTCAATCATCAATCAATCAGAAAATAAAACAACCAAGTAGTTAATCAGTTAGTCAATAATTCGATCAGTCGATCAGTCAACCAATTAATCAGTAAATCATTGAATCGATTAATCAAACCTACCTCGTCGAATCTAGTAATGAGAGATTGTAGTAGAGCTAAAACTAATTCCGGAGTTACCAACTTCTCAGCTAATCAAATAATATAATATTAGGTAAATACAATTCAAAATAATTTGAATATTTCTACAAGTGTGAGAGGTTCAACATTCTTCACTTCTCACATAAGTATCAGTTTTTAAAGCTAGGCTGTCAACGTAATTAAAAGAAGGCTTAAAATTACAGAATTCCATGTTCCACAATGGTTCTTTTACGCCTTACATTCAGAAACAGGCAAAAGATATCGTCATTTTTCTCTCTTGGAATGATAAATTTTGTCACTACCGTTGTGAATCTGGCATGCTCTCTTCAAATAAACGGTCCACATTTCCTTTAATTAAATCTACAGTGTTGAAGACAAATCTGTGTACTAAAGCTATATTGATTTTCAGGTACCGGGTTACCCACAAAGGATGAGACTGTGAAGACGACCATACACTTTTAAAATTCCCCATCCTAAGGTTATTTTATTCTTCTATCTTGATATAGTCTTTTATTAGATTGTTAAATGATTTCGAAAGGAACGAAACAAATTTCCAGTTCTAGGGAATGTAATGAAACAGAGGCTGAATTTAAAGAATTTGAGCCAAGACTTAAATTTAAGCCGCGGCTCAAATATGGTTGGTTCCACTTAAAATTGAATTCCATTTTTCAAAATCTAGACCGGCGCTAAATTGAAACCGGCTTTTGGTAGATTTAAGCCGCGGCTCAAATTCATTAAATTCGGAGACTGATAATATACATTACGTGAAGTCGTCTCTGAAGTCTGATCATTTTTAGGTAAACCCTGGATATTCTAAGATGCCCTTATACCAGGAATAAGTGGTTGAATAGGCCGGCCATAGGCTGATCACCTGTAATATCCCTGGCAACTAAACATTCTTCAACATCAGAGAATACAAGACGGAGAATACGCAGAACAGGGTTCATCCAGCTCACTAGTATACCAGCCTCCTGGAGAAATAGGACGGATTAATGAGTATTCTCTCATCTCATCAGTTTATAGTTTGAACTGAGATGCTCAGAGTGTAGAAATAGCTTGAGCAAGGATTGATTGAATAATATCCTTTAACCTTGTCAGTTCTAGTTTGAACTGGAATGCTTTATGTGTAGAAAGAGCTTGAGTCAGGATGAATTGAATAATATCCTTAAACCTGATCAGTTCTAGTTTGAACTGGGATGCTTAATGTGTAGAAAGAGCAAGAGCAAGAATTGATTGAATAATATCCTTTAACCTGATCAGTTCTAGTTTGAACTGGAATGCTTTATGTGTAGAAAGAGCAAGAGCAAGGATTGATTGAATAATATCCTTTAACCTGATCAGTTTCTAGTTTGAACTGGGATGCTTTAAGTGTAGAAAGAGCTATAGCAAGGATGGATTGACGAGCTCTAGGATGTAAACTGCTCCAGGCACTGCATAGTACATCAAGCAAACCTAGATTAAACAAACAATAACAAAGATCGGGGGAGAATTAAAAAATCTTTAGAACGAAAATGTTCTTATAATAATAATACCTGATATAAGTTTACACAATGCTTCCATATTATCTGTACATTTTGTATTCCATCTTTTCATGAGTACTGCTCCAGTCTCAGCTAAATATTATTCAATTATATAAACACTTGTTTGGCTACACAGCTTTGTCTGGAGATCAAAACAATTTTTCAAACCAAGCTAAGAACATTTCTACCGAGTTCCCCAATCAAAATTTAAGCCAGATCGGTCCAGGGGTTCCAGAGTTATGATCGAATATCCAAACAGATAAACAGAGATTATATATATATATAGAGATACACAACATACCTAAACCTTAGTACAGGGTTACCCGCAAAGGATGAGACTTCAGAGACGACTGTACAGAATTTACATAATCTTTTTGCTTGCATAAATGGCTCTTAGCATTTTTTAACTTGTCTCTTTTTTGTCAAATGATTTAAAATATTATTCAAGGCCGAGGTTTCAATTCAAGATTCGAATTGTCTAATTTAAAGTTCAGACCCTCATTAAAGTTTATTTCTTTGTGGGTAACCCTGCAGTGTATAAGGTAACACTGTAGATGAATGTAAGAAAGGCCGTTTTAATCCAGAATTCAGGGGTCTAATTACGTAGCTAATTTATTTTTGCTTCAATTTATGAAGGCTAGGTTAAAGTCTGGTTATTTTTTTTGCCAAATGCGATTTAAAAGTTTTTGCTTTGCCAGTTTGTTTATTGGCATTATTTGTATAAAACCTTAATTGTTAATTTAACTTCATTTTTAATACTCTAGTGGGTTTTCTTTATACTATTGCAATTTATCAATATTATTAATTGCATGCCATCCTGAAGTAATTCTCTCATTCCTATTCTTTCATTTGTAAGAAATAAATCTTAAAGAATTTCTAAAACTTGTCCGAGTTTTAAAATTAACTGTCTCTTACTTGAACATTCATTGGCGCTTGATGGAAAACATAGTAAATGAAATGAATAAAACGAAACGAAAATAAAACGAAACGAAATAAAAATGAAATGAAAGGAAATGAAATGAAACGAAACGAAACGAAAGAAACGAAATGAAAGAAATGAAGTATAATGAAATGAAATGAATGAAACGAAGAAACAAAATGAAATGAAATAAGGTAAAATGAAATGAAATAAATCCTACTTTCCACCCCACAGACTTGTAATGAATTTACTAATTCAAGAATGAAGTGAGGTCTCATAGCTTTTACTGTTTTATAAATAAAAATAAAAAGAATTGTCGTTGAATCCAGGATTCTTAGCCAATTTTAATATTGAAGAGAAAAGGCAACACTGGCCGTTTTTATGTGAATAAACATTCAAACTGGATGGATAAAACTTTAAAATACATCTTTTTTCAACATTCTTTTAATTCAAAAGTTAAAAAGTTCCAAAAGTATGTTTATTGTTAAATGTTAAAACCTAGCTACGTTTAAGAAAAAAACATTAAATTTCAGAAAACATGGTTTCTTTTCCCGTAATCTGGCCATTTTAGCTGAGTGGAGGAAAAAGGGCTAAAATCTGTCAACAATACATCAAGGTTATCTTTACAGAGAAATTAGATTTCCACAAATTCTCGACGAGGTTCCGTGATTTTCTTAACTTCCAAACATCATACCAAATAACAATTTTTTCCAATGTCAGTACATCACTTTTTACAACCTTACTTTGAAATTGTTTATGGATTTAAAAAAATATTTTTTCGTGTTACTATAATGTTGCCTTTGTTATTTGCCCTACTTAAAAACAATCAATTCTATTCACAATATTAATAAGTATGAAAAACCTTTTCTTATACATGATTAAATTTCTGGATCTGAATACATTTTCTTTAGTGTACAATGTACATATATACGAGAATGAGATCTGCAAGAAGCCGCATCTTGGGCAACCCAAACCGCCTACAGCTGTATCCGATCCTTACTGGTAAGAATCATGTTGAATTTAAAACTATTAACGTACCAAGTAGGACGGATAGATTTGCTGGAATAGGATCCAGCTGGAGCACTCTGACCAGCTCCTGTACTGTAGCCAGGTAGGTCAACCTACAGCAGGCAGGAGATATACTCACAGGACAATCCTTAAAAACAGATAAATACAAGAAAGGAAAAATAAATTTTCAAAAGAAAACTTTCAGAGCTTTCAACCAAAAAATACTTCATTACTATTTCTTTAACCTTAATCTTTGTGCCAGAAAGCTGTTTTTAAAAGTACTGACGTTAAAGAGTAGAATTAAGAAGGTTATTGTTTGAGGATTATAGGCTCTGTTAACGTTTTAAAGTGACGTATTAGACCCGCTCAGGAGCTATTATTACTGAATTCCAAAAAGAACAGTTAACCGATTCATCAACTTAAGTGCAAATCTGAACAGAACTACTTTAATTTTAGCTTCTTTTAGAACTCTGAATACCTTTGATAGAACCAGAAGAAATATTTTCCAAGATGAAATCAAGAACATTTCATCATGTTCTGCCTCAAACTCAACCAAACTCTTCTCAGCCTAAATAACATTATTAAAACATTCAAGAGTTCAAACAACAGTAATTCCATTGTTTTGCCAATCTAAATTCCCCCAAAAATGTTTCGCACAATTTTTTTCTCGCTATTTTTTATGCAGAATCTTGATTTTGTTGTTATAAGCGATGTTTTGGTTGATATATAGCCCCTTGGGTCCGGATTTATGAATTTGCATATTTTTGCGGATTCGGATCCGGATCCTTTGCTCTGCCACAGTTGTAAACTAACATTTGTTTTGGATTGTTGGTCCTCGCCTTGGCACCAGCTCTCTAAACATCCAGTCTTCTCATGACAAATCTTCTCCAAAACCTGAAAATAACTTAATTGAAGTTTCATATGGAGAAATCTAAACATGTTCAGGATTTCTGGAGCCTGGGAAACAGGGTGCCTTTTTATATATCTTTAAACAGAAACATAGGATAGAAATAAAATAGAGTAACGATCGATAAGTAATTTTAATTGGATTCATCTAATCCCCCCTTTTTTCACTATACACAACAATACTTTTTACTAAAAAATATTGATCACCCTCATAGGGGAATTACAGAAAAAGTAATGCAATGTACAATACTAGAACTTTTTTTAAGCTAAAATGTTTATTCAGCTACTAAAAGAACATTTCTTTGCATTTTGTCGATTATGACTAATTACTTGAACCGGAGGTTGGTCTGGATCACTGGGCAGAGACTTACCTTACTAAGTTCAGATGTAACTTTCCCTTTCCAAGTATAGATCTCATGAGCCAGTATTCTTAGCACAAACCCTTTCACCTCAATATCAACAATATAACAGGGCTCATATTTTCTTGGTTTGTATCCAATACTCGTCAAAACGGCTGAACCGATCAAACACGCGCTTTTTTGTGGTAACTTACATGACCCCATTGAAGGTAAAAGTTGCCTCAAGATAATTTTTAATTAAAAAAATGTTGAATTCCGCAAATAAAACAGAAAAAAATGTTGTTCTTAATAATACAATGCACAAAACCTCTGCAAAGATTATTAACAGACTAGGACTACTTAACAATAAAAAGTTCTGATCCGTAAAAAGTTTAAGATATAATCTTGAGTCTTGACATATCTTGTCCTAGCTATGTTATCAGTAGACAATATTTAAAATTCTTGAACACAAGGATGGAAACAAACAAATGCAATGCCCCAAAAATCAAAACAAGAATAAAGGTAAAGAAAGAGAATTTCTGCAATGTTAATATTTTCCCAAAGATTTAGAGAAAAACTATGAATATTTCTAAACATATTTCCTTATTTTTTTGACATATTGGATTCTTCAATTTTCATTGTAGGTCAGTCCATGATGAACATTTTCACTGAGTATGAGAATAAGAAAAAACAAATTTCAGAAGGGTTATGAAGTATAGTTGTTAAAATGCTGACCTTGTTTAATCGTTGGTCTGAGTTGAGTCCTGATGTATAAATCGGCCAACACAGGTTGACCCAGAAACCCTGAGCATCCTAAAACATTTCAACATCATGACATGACAAGGTCACAAAATACATCTCATTTTATCCGGGGTTAACCGATTCCTTTAATTTATTTTCCGAAATCATTTTCAATGTTTTACATTTTCGGCTGTAACTGAATTGACCAATGAGAGATGAGGGTTCAAGTACAAATGTTGTGGATATTGACCAATGAGAGATGAGGGTTCAAGTACAAATGTTGTGGATATTGACCTATGAGAGATGAGGGTTCAAGTACAAATGTTGTGGATATGACACCTATCACTGGTGGTCTACTGACAACGGCCCAGCAACGGCTTGTGTGTACATTACAAATTGTAAATAAATAAGTTTACCTTCAAGAATCTAGTGGCTAACAGACTTCCACTATCCCATAGGTTATATATCAACCGGAGAATTGATAAATGCAGCTTCTAAAATTAAATTGTTTTAATACAAAACAGCCTACAGGAGAACATTTTAACCTTCCTAGACATGAACTCTACCATCTAAAAGTTAGCGATCTAGAGAAGGTTTGGGATCTTGGAAGAAGTAAGAGAATCTTAACAACACATCAGAGATTTTATGGCAGAACTCAAAGGAATGAACAGAAAAAAATAGTTTTTATTTAATTGTAAACAGTAACTCAGTATTTTTTTAAAAAGGAGTATTGTTTTGGTCCAATTCTTAAAAATGTTTAGATATCCCTCCATAAACAAAGTTTTAATAAAATTCTATTTCCTATCCAAATGATCCTTAAATATCTCTAAATATAGACGTCTGCTTATTGGTCGTGTACTCCAGCTGTACACAATTGAACTCGTTGTATAAAATATCGTATATTCTAGCCTTTGATAGATTCTTTAATAGAAATTGCATATAATAATACCTGCCAGTTTTCTCCAGTCTTATCCTTACACTGCGCCAGTAGTTCTAGTACAGGAGATAAGCAACCCTCTCCCACTATCTTAGAGGAATCTGTACTGCTAGCCAGCCCTTCAACAACTAGAATATAACAATATGAAATATGGAGAAATGGAGGTCCATATATGATCACCAAATTGATCCCCGACCATCATCGAAATTATAACTAAAATAATCGCCAAAAAATCAGGCAAAATTTTCACAAAAATTATTACCAAAGTTCCCCGATGTGATCACCGAAATAATCCCCGAATTGGTTATCGCCTTGAACACTTAAATAATCACCAAGATAATCGCCCCCAATAATAATCTAAATGATAACCTACGTGATCCCGAAATGAACACTCAAATGATTGACTAAATGAACACCAAAATGATCGCGAAATGAACACCTGAATAATCACCTATATAATCACCGATATGAAACCCTCAGACCTCTATACGAGAAAACGACCGCCTTCTACCAACCTCTTCTTCCCTTGAGGTTGATTTTAACAATTAAAAAGAAGTATTCGTGAAGAGTAAGAGTCAGCACGAAAAAATTTAAATTAATGACCGACCTTGCATCAAACAAATAAAATCTAATAATGGTTCCTATTATCCATCTCTACCTCATATAAACTTCCTTTAGAAACCCAAGAATATCTAGGATATTTTACTGGATAGAACAAGTTGGATATTTTCTATAAAGTTAACCTGATAAATGGATATTTATATCCAGGAGAAGTTGAACCATCCCGGGTTGAGAGTTAACACACTCACTTAGTAGATCTATTATGGATATCTTCAACCTAATATCCTGAAATATATTCATTAAATGGATATCTAGGATAACAGGTTGAGAGTTAACACACTCACTCAGTACATCTATTATGGATATCTTCAACCTAATATTCTGAAATATATTCATTAAGTGGATATCTAGGATAACAGGTTGAGAGTTAACACACTTAACTAAGTAGATCTATTGTGGATATCTTCAACCTAATATCCTGAAATATTATAAAATGAATATTCGGAATATGAATTGAACCCGACCAGAATTATAATTATTAACGAGTTTTGATCATTTTCAAATTCTTCCTCCAATTCTATGATCTGAATTGGGACGAAGAAAATTATTAAACGGATTTCAACTTAGAACTTTATACCAAGGGTTGACGGTTAATGAATGATTGTGAGTGCGAAGATAATGCTTAAAGGAACTGTAAGCGTAATTTCAAGAACCATTTCTGCAAATATGGCAATGTCCTATTCATATCGGTACCCTTGAAACCTTTCTCCGATCAATAGTTTATAAGGTAATGTCTTTTTCTAGGTTACAAATGTGAATTCTTACATTTCACATATATTGTCTTGTAGCATGTCACTTTTGAAAATTGATCAACCACAATTGAAAATAATCAGTTTTCAAAATTATAAACATTGTAATCTATTTCATACTTGATCAGACAACGCTTCTAAGTGTACGTAGTAAGTTTGGCATTGCCATTTTTACATGGAGGGTCACTTTAAATTATGCTTACAGTCCTTTTCACGAATCTTTTAAAAAAAGAATAATGTTACCTCTAAAGGACTCTCTAGTCTGGTGAGCAGAAGATCTCTGACAGACACTGCAGAACTACCCAGGCAGGCCAGCATACTAAACATACGCGATTTACAGACAGATAAAACTGAATTAAAGAATCGTTTTTTAAAACAGATAAAATTAGATTAAAGAATCGTTTTGCAAACGAATCAAACTAGATTAAATAATTGTTTTTCGAACAGATAAAATAGGATTAAAGAATTGTTTTTCGAACAGATAAAAGTGAATTAAAGAATTGGTTTTCAAACAGATAAAACTGGTTTAAAGAATCGGTTTTCAAACAGATAAAAGTGAATTAAATAATCGGTTTTCAAACAGATAAAACTTGATTAAAGAATCAGTTTTCAAACAGATAAAAGTGAATTAAATAATCGGTTTTCAAATAGATAAAACTGGATTAAGGAATCGGTTTTCAAACAGATAAAAGTGAATTAAATAATCGGTTTTCAAATAGATAAAACTGGATTAAGGAATCGGGTTTCAAACAGATAAAAGTGAATTAAATAATCGGTGTTTAAACAGATAAAACTGGATTAAAGAATCGGTTTTCAAACAGATAAAACTGGATTAAAGTATCGGTTTTCAAACCGAAAAAACTGGATTAAAGAATCGGTTTTCAAACAGATAAAACTGGATTAAACAATCGGTTTTCAAACAGATAAATGGGATTAAAAATCGTTTTTTAAACAGAAAAAGTTAGACGATAGATTTTTTCCCAGACAAATAAAACTGGAATCAAGAATAATAGTTTTCCAGAAAAATTAATCTGGAATCAAGAGAAATTGGTTTCAAGAATCAAAAATCAATAATTTTAAATATAAAATTATAAGAAAGGCAAATACCTGATATTACTGTTTGCTCTAGCCACTGCTCCAGCAATATACCGGAGTAGGGATATCCCTGCAGTAGCAACACTAGGATCATGGAAAAAGTAGGAGTAGTGTGCCAGGGTTAGGAGAAGGTGTGGCTGGGGCCCAGAGGGTGGAGCTCGTAGTGCCCTGCCAACAGGGCCTGATAGCATGTTTTCAGGAAAGTTCTTAAGTAACCTGTGAGAATTTATTCTTCATGTTTAAAGGTCAATTGAGCTGTTTAAATCCAATCCAATCCAATCCAATCCAATCCAATCCAATCCAATCCAATCCAATCCAATCCAATCCAATCCAATCCAATCCAATCCGAAGAAAGTATATAGACAAGAAAAGTATATAGATTATAAAGAATTCATTTCCTGTCAAGTATGCAAAGAGAGGTGTAGACTATAGTACAGAAATCAGTTCCACGTCCGCTCTCCCAGCACTCCTAGATATTAATATTGTATTGTTGTTGTTTTCGTAGTGTACTACAATACATTGATAAGCGTGATGTGAGGAGAACAAAGAGGAGGATTGTGTTTGATCATATTTTAACTATTTTCGCAGTGTTATGAAGTTTTTGGACAGAAAATTTCTGTCCATCACTATATAGCACGTCGTCCAAAAAAGTAGTGTTTTAGGCAGTGCTTAGGATCCATTTAAATTTGATGCGGATCAGGATCCTGGATACGCACTGGAAAAAAATGAATCCGGATCCGGATCCAGGTCATTTCTTTAAGATTTATTGAATTTTTTTAACAAAAAATAATTTTAAAATTTTTTATTTTATTTTTTCGCTTATTTTTATCCTAAAACTAGATCCGGATACGTGGATCTGCATATTTTTGCGTATCCGGATCCAGGAAGCCAAAATCTTGCGGATCCAACGGATCCGAATCCTAAGCACTGGTTTTAGATAATTTAATGGAACGTTTGTGAACTTATTGCTATGGCTATTTCTAGATAACATAAGCCTTAAAGAAAGCAGAAATAAAATACGTGCTCTAATATATCTGTGCTAATTTAACTTAATAGCACATGATTACTTTATAGCACGTTCATAATAAAATTCACCATTAAGTGGAGTAAGTAAGTACACAATAGTTTCATAAAATTTTGAACAAATAATTTTACAAGGCTCGGTATTCTGCATCTGGGAAAGTTCATCTCCCCTTGAAGTTTTCACCATTTCAACACAAAATTAGACATAAAAAGACAATATTAAAACGTCTAAAACATTAGTTCACATTTAGTTTTAAAACGTATTATTAAAGGAGGAGAACCCCCTAAAAAATCGATAATTATTTGAGACAAAGATGATTAAAATGGTTAACCAGGGTTTTAAAAAATTGGAGTTGACATTTTTTTAAACAAGCAAATTGTCTGCGAAACTTCAAAAAATCTGACTGAGCTGATAAAAAATAACCAATACCTGGTTTTCTAGTAGTGCTTGTATGGTTCTATCTCCAGTAGATGCTAGAAGCAGTAAAGAACCACACACACCGTTCTCTCGGGATATTACATTCGCACCTTTACAAATCAAAGATAAAGAAGAATCAAAAATTTAAAAGAACATTTTTTCAATTAAGCGTAGAAAATTTATTTTTAATAGACATAGTTCGAGTTTTTCATGAAAGTTAGATTGATCCCCAAGAGAAATGAATTGGTTTTGCTTTTATTTCTTCTTATCTTCAGTACATTCTTAATACTAATCGTTAACAACACCGATTTTCGATACGAGTCAACGCTATTTCGAAAAGACATTTATATATCATCCAATATGATTCCTATTTGACAGGCTATAAAAACTTTGTTGATTAGGATATCGCTTAGTCACATCGACTGACATAATTTTAAATCGGATGTTTTTAGTTTATTTACTGGGATTGAAAGGTCTTAGAAATTAGATTATTAAAAATGATCTAAAAAAGTGGTAATTGCTCTACACAGGGGTCAAAGGACCCGACTTAGCGAGTAATTGGAAAGCCCTCTAATGAACCCCGACCTTCAGGGGGGGGGGGGGCAATCCATGGACTAGGCTCACCTAGCCACTAATTCCTTTGAGGATTCAAAATACAAAATTGATAAGCTCATATGACGGCCTGATCATAAGCCCACCTGCAGGATTAGTATTTTTATACCGAGCTAAAAACTTTAGAATGGTGGATATCAAGATTAATGCTTAATCCTCTCTTTTTCTTAATATCGAGACTAACCTATTCTTGTCCTTGAAAAGTGTATAAAATTCAACTAATCAGAGTCGCGTATGTGAAGCCGATAAATTTGAAATTTTGCGCGCCATTTTAAGATTGATATACAGAAACGGGAGGAATTCTCAAATTTAAAAAACCAGTTTTTGATTTTTCTCTACTTTATCCAAGAAATAATGGTTAAGGAAGAAAATCAAAAGTGTGTCCTAGATTATGTAATCGGGATAAAGGATATCTCATTCTAAAGTTTTAAGCTCTGGAGAAGAAAAGTAAGACAGAGTACTAGTATCAAGATGAAAACCCACCTGCAGGATTAGTATTTATATACTGGAGAAGTATAGTAAGGCAGAGTACTAGTATCTGCTCCCTCTGTCCTGGGATCTGATATCTCCAGTTGGAGAAGCTGGGCAGAACCTCACGGCATAGGAACAGGATACCAGCCTCGATATCCGATTCACCAAATTCTTCTTCACAACAACAAATATTAAATTAGTTTTCAAACAATGGAGTAACATGTCCGGTTCCCAACGGTACAATAACAAGCTTTATCTAATCAACAATGAATGAGATATCTTTGATTTTTCTATAAAGAATCGGGCACGCCCCTCTAGCTCTTTAAATGAAGGTGGACTTGAAATTACAATGACAGCCCTTCAAATATGTCCTCAAATACAATTTTACCAAATTTATCAGTTGATAGAAAATATGATTTACCAGGCCATAAATAATAACAAAATTTTTTATATTTTTGACCATGTTGGAAAAATTTACACATTGACAGGAAGTAAAATAAATAACTTTGTTCCTTTGAGTAGATTAAGGAAGGCCAACAGAAGAGGATATTCTCCACGAACGGTCTCCTCACCTAGATAATCAATCAATCAATCCATCAACAATCAGTCAATCAAAGGATGAATCAATGAATTAAAGAATCAGCAATCAATCAATCAATCAATCACCCAACTAATCAATGAATCAATGAATAAAAGAATATAAGAATTAATGAGACGATCAATCAATGACTCAATGACTCAATCAATCAATTATTCAGTCAAGCAAGCAATCAATGAATCAATCAATCCTGTAATTCAGTAAAAAAATGTCCGTCAATCAACCCCTAAATCCATCAATCCATCAACCCATCAATCAATCAACCCCTCAATCCATCAACTCATTAACTCATCTACCAGTTAATTAAATCCGTGAACCTGCAAGAAGGAATCCGACTACTCCTGGAACTAAACTAGAGCTTGATTTCTCCAGTAAAGAATGAGAAAGACTGAAATGAGGAAGAAGGCCTGATGATTTCAACAACTCAACCGCCTAGACAAAAAGATTTTTTATGTTACTATCTATATACAGTATCCTTAATTGTCTCTGAGAGAAGAATAAACCCCTTGTCCCCACTAAGGATTGCAATTTTTCCAACTTTGTCCCACCAGGCTCAAAGCTTCAGTAAAGATATATGTTCTGGGACTTCTGTCAGGCTAAAAGAACGCAGGGAGGTTTAGTTCGGGTGAGAAGGGTTGCTTCAAAAAGAACAAATCTACCCTTGTTTCTACCTGAGAAGCATGTGTATCTATCCTGAGAATAGCTGAGAAGGTTCTAGTTATCCCTGCTAGGAGAAGAAGGGGAGGATGGGAGACCTGACAGAATCCTATACATAGGCGGCCCAGCACACACGTCAAATCCTCTAGAAAATAATTATAGTATTTAAAGGAGAGAAACTAAATTTTGGCAGGGCAAGCAGTCGAAATGATTTTCGAATATGGGGGGGAAGGGGGGGGGGGTAAACCAGTAAAAATTATTTTTAAAGCGGGCGCAGGGGAGGGGGGAAGAAAACAAGAAAATAATTTTCCTTAAAAAATAAACCTGTGGGCAGTGAAGATATTTTTTTCATTCTTGAGATAAGGGTGGGAGTAGAGAGTTTAAATCCGATACTAACCTAGTTTCCTTAGCATACTAGGATACAGGATACTAGACAATACTAGAGAGTTTAAATCCCATACAAACCTTGTTTACTATACATACTAGGATATAAGGATACAATAGTTTAGATCTGATACAAACCTAGTTTACTATACATACTAGGATACAAGGATACAGGATACTAGACAATAGTTTAGATCTGATACAAAACCTAGTTTACTATACATACTAGGATACAAGGATACAGGATACTAGACAATAGTTCAGATCTGATACTAACCTAGTTTACTAAGCATACTAGGATACAAGGATACAGGATACTAGACAATAGTTTAGATCTGATACTAACCTAGTTTACTAAGCATACTAGGATACAAAGATCCAGGATAATAGACAATAGTTCAGATCTGATACTAACCTAGTTTACTATACATACTAGGATACAAGGATACAGGATACTAGACAATAGTTTAGATCTGATACTAAACTAGTTTACTAAGCATACTAGGATACAAAGATACAGGATACTTGACAGTAGTTTAGATCTGATACTAACCTAGTTTACTAAGCATACTAGGATACAAGGATACAGGATACTAGACAATAGTTTAGATCTGATACTAACCTAGTTTACTAAGCATACTAGGATACAAAGATACAGGATACTTGACAGTAGTTTAGATCTGATACTAACCTAGTTTACTAAGCATACTAGGATACAAGGATACAGGATACTAGACAATAGTTTAGATCTGATACTAACCTAGTTTACTATACATACTAGTATACAAGGATACAGGATACTAGACAATAGTTTAGATCTGATACTAACCTAGTTTACTATACATACTAGGATACAAGGATACAGGATACTAGACAATAGTTCAGATCTGATACTAACCTAGTTTACTGTACATACTAGGATACAAGGATACAGGATACTAAACAATAGTTTAGATCTGATACTAACCTAGTTTACTAAGCATACTAGGAGTCGAAGTTAGGATTGCTGAGACTAGACCAGACAGTTTAGTCACACGCTTCAGGGACTCAGCTCTCACCTTACAAAGATTATTATTTATTAAATATTTTTTATCAAACGTTTATTTATATCACCCCCCCCCCCTTCTTCGAGGTGAAAAATAGAATAATAAATGATTTTAAAATTTACGCTTTACTTGATCTTTCCTGCGTCATGTTTAATCATTAATACCTGCTCCTCCCCTGCAGACAACTGTACGCTCAACTCTCCACATTCAGCCAATAAAATCTAAAAAAAGGTATGATAATTTCTTAAAGCAGATAAAAAATTATTCTTGTCAACATTCAGAACTAAACTAAGAAAGATGACGAAAGTCTTTTCACTGTCATTGTCTCCAGAACTTAACCTTGCCATTGAAAACACAAGTCTTCCATGAGAAAAAACTTATTCCGAAATTCTATGGGAAAATTGGAAACTAAGTAAAAATTCCAAGGAAAAAATGAAGAATTGTTAAAAGGGGAATTTTCTGAGACTAATTTACCTGCCAACCGTTTACGTTTACTCTCCATCTAACATTTCCATTGTCAGTGAGTTCTCCTGAAAAATATTTAACCATAAAATGAGATTTGAAGATTAGTAATCAATCAATCAGTTCCAATTAATCAATTCCAATCAATCAATCAATTCCATCAATGGATCAATTTGTCTGTAAATCTATTTACCTTTAGTATTTGCAGGGATAAATACAGTTTTGGTAAATGCATATGGGTATCTATCCTCTAGTAGCTCTAAACACCCATCCCTGGTTCTACCAATCCTACAGGAAAAAATAAACATTATTTAAAATCAAAATTTGCATTTGCGTCGATTTTTGTTTAATCTATTTGTTCGTGCTTATGACTACAGGATACTTCAAGTAGAAGATTAGCGGAGTTCTCTTGTTTATATTCTCTAAATCTCCATCCAAATTTTGTCATAAAAGGGTTTAGGTGTGAAGCATCTTTAATGTTACTCGAGAGCTTGTTCCAGGTTTAATTGTATCTGGTTTTTTGTTAAAACTTTTCAAAACCTCTTGGAAGAAAGCATTTTCAAGACCACTTGAAAGAAAGCATTCTTAAGACCTCCTGGAAGAAAGCTTTTTCAAGACCTCCTCGAAGAAAGCATTTTCAAGACCTCCTGGAAGAAAGCTTTTTCAAGACCTCCTGGAAGAAAGCTTTTTCAAAGTTGTTCAGTAATTAATTTTCATATTAACCAAATTTTTAAATTTTATAAGGGTCAAAACTAAGTTTATCGTACCGGTAATACGACTGTGCACTTCACATTGATGTTCTCTTATTGGCTGTATTAATGTCTGTTCTCTTCTGACTGGGTTTTTAAAGAACCCAAAAGATAGAGATAATTTTGAACACCTTCTAATGAGTTTTTAGGGACACTTTATATGGTACTTTCAGCTTAATCTTCAACTTACTCTCAATACATGTATGATGATAATTTATATTTATATTTCAAAAAAAACATGCCTAACTTGTAACACGAACAGATTACAAGGAACTTTCAAAAAGATGATTTTTATCATTGATTGGTGTGACGGGAGGACATTATGAAGGGTATGGGCAAAGAAAAATGTAAGAGATTTTATTTATAAAGAAATCTAGACTCCGTTTACCTGGAAGTTATCTCGTCAACCCTCTCCGTATAGACCTCGAGGTTGGAGAGGGTTGAAACAATCCTCTGGGAGCTGCTGGGAGAGGCGGAGGACAGGGAGGTCATACATTCAACAAGAGGCTGGAAATCACGGGGGAAATTTGCCAGAGTTTCCTAAAGATTGGATCAAACGTTTAGTCAAGGTCAAATTTCAAGGGTATACGCTTTGTTTTGTGATAACACTCCCCCCCCCCCCCTCAATGTCAGAGAATTGGGGGGAAAATCATTTTTGGACAGAAGAGTATCGAGTTTAGTTGAAGTAAACTTTCATTTTATCACCAAAATCATCGAATATCTTCATAAAAACAAGATATTAACATTGTTTTATTGCGTAAAAAATCAATAATAACAATAGGCAAAACTTTTTGTACATTTAAAGTTCCAATAATAAGAATGAGTATTGAGTAAGAGTACGCTAAATACCTGGAAGTATAATGATAGTCCAGCATCTTCATCTAGTTTCCAGAAATCTCCAGCTACAGATCTGTCAAGATAACAGAATTTAGGTTGGATCAATACAGGGATATATATTTTTTTTAATTACTCACCGCCACCCCACGGGGAGTGGGATGGAATGACTTTTGATGATTTAGGGGCGAAAGATGAGAAATTTTCAATCAAAAAAAATTAAATTTAATCTTTTTGAGTCTTCTTACTCAGCCAAAAATTTTGAAGATTTGAACCAAAAATAAAGGCCCAGTAATTACTCCTCACCCTCATCAAATAGGACATCTCATTCTCCACCATCCCCTTTTACTCCAGTAAAAGAAGTTTAAAGAATTCAATTAATAGTTTTTAAGGTAAATCCAGATACAAATTCATTCTTTAATTGAGGGGATCCGTAAGAATATATACAGTATACACCACTGATTTGTCCCTAACCTGTGTTTGAGTAGTAGAACTGCTAATGCATCTATCTCTGTCTGAAGACCCAGGCTGGTTGGATCAAATACTGTCAACAAATCTGAGACAAGTCTGTAAACCTAAAACCACAAAGGTATGTTTCCTTGAACAAGCTATACCACACTCTAAAAAGTTTCCCAAAAATACCATGGGAATAAGGGAATAAGGAAATAATATTTTTTTTTGAAAAAAAGCTTAATCAAATTATTGTCCCATTTTAAATCCCTTAAAATAGAGTTATTTTATTTCTATTTTTTTTGGCGGGAAATTAAAATTTCCTCATTATTTTATAGGATCCTTTAATCCTCCCAAAAAGGAAACACCCAAGGGCAACATTTTACAATATTTTGAACTTTGTTACCAGAGGCCGAATTTAAAGAATTTGAACTGTGTCGCTGAACCGCCAATAACCCGTTCTAATTAAGCGACGAAATATTTATTAAATTTTCCAGCTGAACCAACCATGTTTAAACCACGTCTAGACGCTGTTTAAACTCTTCAAATTTGGCTTAAGCTTTATTCGTCTATTTGTAACGATAATAATAGTTTTAAGGACCAGCTGAAATACACGGTACAGGGTACAGGGTACAGAGTACAGAGTACAGAGTACAGAGTACAGAGTACAGAGTACAGAGTACAGAGTACAGAGTACAAGGTACAGGGCACAGAGTACAGAGTACAGAGTACAGAGTACAGAGTACAGAGTACAGAGTACAGAGTACAGAGTACAGAGTACAGAGTACAGAGTACAGAGTACAGAGTACAAGGTACAGGGCACAGAGTACAGAGTACAGAGTACAGAGTACAGAGTACAGGGTACAGAGTACAGAGTACAGAGTACAGAGTACAGAGTACAGGGTACAGAGTATAGGGTACAGGGTACAGGGAACAGAGTACAGAGTACAAGGTACAGAGTAAGGGTACAGAGTACAGGGTACCGAGTACAGAGCACTAAGTACACAGAATTAAATAATATACCTGACGATGAATGATATCTGCCACTAATGGATGATTCATGAAATCAGCAACAAGAATAAGCTCCAGTGTTTTAAGAACACGGTTCTGGATCGCCACCTCACCCATCCTAGAGGACTTGCTCAGCACCTTGGCGCCCCTAGCGATATAGCTGGTGAGGGCCCAAGCTAGGAGAGCAGGGGAGTGGGACGGATGGTTTCCTATCCCGGAGATCAGTCTTTCCACTGTGGATACGTTTTCAGGTTTACTCCAGATATTGTGCTCTACAATAAACAAGAGGTTTATAAACTTGTCCAATATTAACGAGGTAAAGATTCAGATTGCTTCTTATAACCTATAACTTAGACATTTTTTGACAGATCTAGAACTAGTTTTGCTATTCAAACCAACGTTTGATCAACAGTATTTGCTCCGGCCCGGCTGTCCTGCCCTTCTCAGAACATCGAGCATTTCGTCCAATTTTTTGTTGTAAGTGTTAACAATAGAAACTAGTTCATGAACTCCTAATACGTCACAGTGAAATAAAAACTAACCTTATATTACTCTCCTTAGTTCTACTCGTGTTGGTAATTAGTTAATGCCAATGTGAGACGTTAACTATTCTAGATTTGTGAATTAGATAATTAGTCATGAACACACAGCGTTCAGTTGATTTTAGATGAACTTAAATTCTTTAAACAGCCTAATATCCTTGGTTCGAACATATATACTAGGATAGAAACAGCCTGATATCCTACCTGATACATGGTTTGAACATGGTAATTGTATCATGTATACTAGGATAGAAACAGAAAGATATCCTACCTGATACATGGTTTGAAGATGGTAATTGTATCATGTATACTAGGATAGAAACAGAAAGATATCCTACACTACGAACCAGTTCACTATGTTTATCATCCAACTCATTCTAAATACAAAGAAATTTAGGCTTTGTCTGATAGTACATTCTTGAAATAAAGAATTTATAAAAAAAAACTCTAATCTATGAACTGTCACCATGTATTAAGTTATTGTTTAATGTTTAAGAATACAATCTACTGATTGATGTAGAATTATATTTAAAGCGCGGTATTTTAGCGATTGTACAATGTATTAAAAAGAAAGCCGTAACATCAGACAGTTTAATGTTCGAACAGTTTATGTTTTTTAGTGTAAGAATATTTTTAGCATTTTGCGTGCAAGTGAATGATGTTTTTGAGTGTCAAGAGATGATGGAATCAGAGCAGGGTATTCAGGCATTACAATTTGTGATGTATTCCAAGCCAATTGTGGCATATTGAAGCGCTGGATACTTATTCATCAATCTATTATTATTATTATCAGTATCAAGAAAGCCTACCCTGAACTGTAGTTTAGTTCCGAACCCAAACTCTAGAAAGAGCTGTGTAATGGTTTGTACATCAGAGAACTGGAATTCTCTGGTATGAAGAGCAATCAGCAGAATCTGGAGAAGCTCCATAATCTCTCTAATTTACAATTCATAAACTTTCAGCAAATAATCTGAATGTTTGACAATTAGTTCGGTAAAACTTCATTGAACTTGCATACGTAACATGTTCGAGTTATTTCATAAACGCATTTCAAATAACCCGCCAGATGTAGAGTGGCACGTCAGCTTTACAACACAAACTAGTTATCCTTATTTTTCTAGCTTGAAAAGTGAGTGCTCACGTAATTGATACTTGGAAACACGTGAAATTGTTGACAACTTTGTATGCAAGCTGTTTAAAAAATACATATGCTTTCCGGAATTTACGGAAAATTCCTTAAATTTCGAAAACCCGCGTTTGACATAAAATATTCGGAAGTCTAGGTCCTAGGAAGTAAAATTCGGGACGTGACGTCATTTTACATACATACACTTATGTCTTACAGTGCACACTGGAGTGCATGAAAATCATTTTTACGAAAAAAAGGAAGATTTCGCCGTCGTCGATAATCGACAAAGTTTCAAAGAGTAACGATGTGAATCCACTTTAAAAAAATGGAGGGTCATGCACTTGAAATAACGTATTTTTACGTTGAACAAAGATTATTTTTAAATTTAAATAATTATAAAATTGTTTCCTAAGATGAAAATGTAGCCAGGCATGTCTGCATGTTCCTCCTAGACTGGTTCCTAGTTCTTCTTTAACAGGAGATCTCTCCTGAATATAAACAAGTTATATATTGCCAAACCAGTACTTAGGATCCATTAGATTCACAACAATTCAGCTCTCTGGAAACAAACAAGTTATATATTGCCAAACCAGTTCTTATGATCCATTAGATTCACAACAATTCAGCTCTCTGGATACGGATCCGCAAAATATGTGGATCCACAAATTCAGATCTAATTGGCAAAACGTCTAAACAACTATCTAGAATTTTTTTTAAATCAAAGAAATTAGCAAAACTATCAAAATATAAATATGCTGGATTTGGATCAAGTTTTAATATAAAGACGGATAATCTTTGTGTTTCGTCCTTTAAGCTCCTAAATCAGGATCCAGCTTATACAATCTACAATACAAACATAAATCTTTAAGCTTTACTAAATTATGTAAGCAAATTTTTCTAGTTGTGTCAACAATTCTGTTGATTTTTTTGTCGACACTTGAGTTGCTCAACGCGACCTTATGATCTCAAAAGACAACAACTATAATTTAAGAAGAAAACCGGATCTTTTTTATTTTTTGATGTTATTTTGCTATTTATATGATTTAAAGATATAACCTTAATAACGGAGCTGAGTTGTGCAACAATACTTTTTAGAGTTTGTTCATTATTCTCAAATACACTTCCCAGTACATCTAGCACATTCTCCTAGCAGAATTTTTAAAAATTTATTCTTAAACTTATTAATTATTAATTATTAAAATTGCACATTTTATTAAATGTTTTTTATTCTTCGGTATGTTTAAGCGGATTGGAATTTATTTTAATTTATTTTTGCGCTGAATTGGGAGAAAATAAATGATTTTAAGGGAGAAAATGTACTTTTGAGGTATCAAAATATATGTAAAACTTGCCTTTTCATTTTTTATGTCCAATTTCACTTTTTTCTTCCCCAGTTCATAAAACTCAGGGGGGGGGGGTTAATAGGCAAAATTATACACCCCTGTTTTGCAAGGAATGGGTGTATGCAAATTATATACCTGTGACCCTGCTGAAAGTATATGTTTAACAGTTTGTAGAAGATATAATCGTTCTGCTCGGTAGAACTGCCAAATATCCAGGATAAGGGGTTTTCTCTACAAATACAAAATTTATTAATTTTTTGTGTTTAAATATTGATAAAAAAGACAGTGCGGAAATGAACACAATATTATACAAAAGTAATTTGTTTTATAAAATATCTGACAAGTTTATTTTCCAGAGGCATTTTTTTTTCATAAGTATCATTGTTTATAAATAATTAGCTTTTCTACTTTATAAATGTAATTTCCACCCTCCATCCCCCTTTTCATTTTTTTCAAGTTTGACACGTCCTTTCATTTTTTATACGTATTGAATAAAAGATCATAAAAAAGAAAGATTTTGAGATTCTAAAAGAAAAAATTTCATGATAAAAGGGGATGGTGGAGTTGGCACATTTGATGTAGGGGGGGTCCCCCCACATCAAATGTGCCAACTCCACCATCCCCTTTTAGGAAAAAAGTAACAAAAACAGATAGTTATTGGTTCAATTTTTCATGGATTTTCTCTCAGTGTTAAAATTTAGCCAAATGGAAGCACTAGAAGCCAAACAAATATTTAAATAAACAATTTTGAAATTTGTAAAACTTCAAGCTTCAAAAATGTTATAAGTTTTTTTTTTTAACGTACACACAATTGTTGCTCATCACTTAACATTGGATTGAATATTTACCTTCTGTTCGTCCTGTACAAGGAGTTTAAGAGAGTCCTGTGTTCCCCTGAACTCTGTAGAGAGGTAGGAACAGATTAGATCCCAACATAAACTCTCATCAAGACTCAGAGTTCGTCCAACCTTGCACACAAACCTCTTCCAACTCTCTAGGAAATAAAACAAATATTTTTTTAGGACAAAAATGTTGCAATATTTTGTTTTGATGAAGTCGATTTACAATGAAAACCGCAAAAACCATATTTTCGTAATGAAGTATAGAAGACTCGTCAAATTTTGTTCTTCAGACATTTAAAAATAACATCACAGCAATAATTTCTCAGTATTTTTAACCGGTATATTTTACCTGGCACAGTCTTTTCAGCGTTAAATACTTTGACAGATTCCTCTGTATTAGGTTTGTATGTAGCTAACCCTGCGGCTAGAACAGGTTTCCAACTTTTTAACTCTGTTTCTACTCATTAGAGTTCATTTTATAAACTATACCAAACCAGTTTTATGAACGTTTATAATTAAAAACTAAGGAATTGTAGGAGTAATTTAAGTGACACTCCATGCCAAGACGGCAATGCCCGATTTACAACGATACCCTTGAAAGCTTTGTCTGATCAAGTATGAATTAGATAGTAATGTGCTTGTTTCTAAATTTTTTTTTATTTTATTTGCGGTTTCCCTGTATAAGTGGGTTGCGCATATATTGCATATAAGAATCTATGGAGAAACTAACAGAAATAAACACTTTTTGAAAACGACTGCGGTAATTTCTAAATTTTTGATAAGGTACGGTTTCAAGGGTTTCGTTGTAAACCGGGCATTGACATCTTTGCATGGTGGGTCACTTGAAACTAGGCTAACAGTCCCTTTAAATGGAATCGACGCAATAAACAATCAGATTCAATAAGTTTGTATCTTCTCTTTAAGCTCTTGAGAGAAGAGAAAATGATATAATATTTGGAAATTGGTTCCGACAATCCAAGTTGCACGCTCCAGGTTGAAGAAAAAATGTGGGGGGGGGGGCTAGAAAAAATTAACTCTTAAGAATGTTCCTAAAACTCCAGGGTTGGTTTGCAGTACGGAACCGGAAACTAAACTCCAAATTGATTTGTTTGTGTTTTTACAATTCATTTTGTTCTGAAACAAAAAATGGTTTTATTTATTTAAAATTAAAGTTTTTTACGTTTAACCAGCAAAAAATGCGAATTAGATTAAAATAAAAAAACCTTTACCAAATCTTTAACAAAAAAATTTTCTTTGCACAACAAATTTTAATGCGCATCAAACTGTTGTGGGCTCAACAAGTTTTTATCACATTTTCTCTTTCATTTATCACAGAATATTAGTTGCAACATCATGTCAAAGATTATAGAACATCAGGGTATATATTTTAAAAATATCCCCCCCCTTCTTCCCAAGAAATTGAATCCTGCTTTCAAGCCTTCATGTCTCTTTTAACCAAAGTTTTCAAATAAACTTTTTAAATCAGAGAGTTTTTAGAGGAGTGAGCAATAGCATACAGATTTATGTAACCTTGAAGATCAGAGACTATAATTTCTAGACCGTCGGTTCTAAATCAGTCGTAGGAGATTCTGGATTAGATTCAGAAATGTTGAGATCTGATTCAAGTGCTTCCGGTAGCGTCTCCTCCACAACTTCCGGTTTAGGGAAGAAAAGATTCTCCGTGTTTGCAAATATTTGCTCCGCGAACGCTAAAACATCCTCCTCTTCCCTCACACCGCAGAGGATCTCAAAAACCTGGAAAAAAACATGAAGAATCATATATCGGTAGTTCTATCAATCTTAGGTCGGATTTAATGAATAGCAAACATTAGTTGAACTCGGTATGGATAGTTGAAATACTTCTCTAGTACAGAAGAGAGAAGTTTAACTATCCGTACCTAGCTATAACTACATATGTACTAAACTTGTCGCAAACTAATGAGTGTGTTAAGATATCATTCTTTTCTGTGAACTATATTTAGTTTTAATCGCTGAATGGTTAATTGAGGAAGAATAAAAATAAACAAGTTTTCACCTGTCTTATTGTGTGTGGTTCAATTCGAGATTTTATAGTTGCACCAACCTTCCACTTTTTCTTCACTACAGTTGGGTACCCTTCAAACTAAACATTTAACAGTTGAGTACCCTTCAAACTAAACATTTAACAGTTGGGTACCCTTCAAACTAAACATTTAACAGTTGGGTACCCTTCAAACTTAACATTTAACAGTTGGGTACCCTTCAAACTAAACATTTAACAGTTGGGTACCCTTCAAACTAAACATTTAACAGTTGTGTACCCTTCAAACTAAACATTTCACAGTTGGGTTCCCTTCAAAGTTAACATTACTAATGGTAAATATGAATATTAACATGAGTAAGGCAGGGAGGGAAAAAAATTATGACCCCCCGGATACTGCCCTGGAGTTCATACCTTTGTTTTAATATATTTGAATCCTGCGTGGCTTGGTCTAACTTCACACCAAGGACAATCTGTTTCAATAAGTAATCTATCTGCAGGAATACCTTTCACAACTTCAAGGTTATCTTCTGTCTTCAAGGAACAACCGTTGATACCAATATAGAATCCTGAAAAAGTCAAATAAACAACAGAATGTTCCTGGTTCCTGTCTTTCAAACTGTTTGTGGAGAAATCATTAGAGGCTCATTCTGATATAATGTTTCTTTGCCATTTGTAAATTTACAACATATTTTTAAATTGTAAATTGTATATAATTAATTGTAAATGAAGACGTAAAGAGAATAAAAAATTATAAATATACAAATAAATACATATATGTATGATTTGTAAATTGTACATAGAAGTTGTAAATAAAGACGTGTAAATTTAAATTGTAAATTGTATTTAAATAATTGTAAATGTGCAAGTATATATAACATTTTTATGTAGAATAAAATGATTGGTAAATTGTAAATTAGAAATTGTAAATTGTAAACGCATAACTGTATAATAGGAATATTTATGTAATACATATTAATATAGTTCAGGATGTTTTGGGGGTAAATGTTGAAGTGTAGTGTTAAATGTTATCAAACATTTTTGTTTATGATTTATTATATAGATTACCTTGTTCGAGGATTCTGTCTCTCTCTAAAGCTGTTCCATCGAAACTATGAACTACTCCTCCTGATAGTTTAGAACTAAATATTTATCATCTTAACACCATTCATAGAAAAAAGTAAGTATAGGAATATATTTTCAAGAATATTTGAAAGAATTAAGATTCTCTGGAAATTAAAAATAGAAATATAGAAATATATTTGCCGCTCCGCGCAAACATATTTACCATTTACGATTTTCACAAAGTCGAAAAAAATGATTTTTCTTTATCATCATTATTTTGAATTTCTTATGCTTTATAAATTTGTCTGCAGATTTCTACAAATTCTTTCAATAAAATTCCAGGAAATCTACGGCAAAATGTTTGTACACATTGAGAAATTGCAGAAAACAATAAATGAAAAAGATTACTTATTTTCTATGATAAGAATTAATCTTATTTTTTCGAAATATTCCTAAACTATTTATTTGATTACTTCAAAATCTTTGTTTCATTTTTTGTGGTCGTCATTGAATAATCTTTAAAACCCCATTTTCAAAATCATCCCTGGACGATCGATCTATGAGGATTTTGAAGATTGAATATGCGCTCTTGCTGAACAAATATACAACGTAAAAACGTCTCATAGGTCTCAAATGAAACCTAAACTTTTTGCTACAATACTGCATTTTCAACCATGTCTTGCCAGTCACTCCCTTAAGAGAGGGACCAGGGGGATGGGGGGAAATAACATTTTACAAGATGAAAATATGCCTGTTTCTCTCCAATATATCCAGTAGATCATCAGTAGATTTTCTATTGTGTAAGAACAGGGGTAACCCTGCAGCAATTCTTAACTAAATTTTTTTTGGTTAAAAATCTTCTAGAATTTTTTTCCCGCCTAGTTGTGACTTTCACATAGGGTAAAATATAACAATTTGATAGATATAAAGATGGTCTTCAGTGGGACCCATTAGAATAGGGAGTAGGAGACGACTTTTAGACTCAAGTTGACTTTCTAGCTTCATATAGTAGCTTCATTATAATAACATCAAATACGCAAAGGATTGCATAGATTTCGTCTTCCTGTTCCACACTTTTATGGGCCCGACTGTAGTTTGACAAAGGCTTGAATTGATTTTTTTGAATGGTTGCCTTTTAGTAATAATAATAACTAGCTGAAGGGCCCGGAGTTGCCCATGGGAAAAAAATTTTATTTCAAGAAAAATTTTAAAATCGATTTTTTAGCCAAAGGCAACCCATGAGTGTACACACAAATTGTCAGCCCAATCGATCCAGTCGTTTTGGCCGGCTATAGGCAACATATATATAAATATCTTGTTTTATTATAAAGATATAGATAAGTTTCGAATTCCTGTAAGTTTAGAAAGTTTTAGCTGTCGTTCGAAATACAGGGTTTGCGTTTCCTGAGAACAGAATTCAGTTCTATCATAATCTAGTCCTATCTCTCCTACTGCCACCACCTAGAGATATAGAGGTCATGAAAGATTTGTATAAAGTAGTTGTAAACAAAGTCAAAGTTAACTATTGTGTCAAGTTGTCCCATTTATGTAAAAAGTTTATTATTATTCTATTGTTATATTTAAAAAAAAAATCAATCCGTACAATCCGTACAATCCGTACATTTTGGCCACCCTGAAAATTGAAATATAAGATTTAAATATTTAAAGGAAATGTCCGCGAAAGAATGAAAGAATTTACCATGACCTTTATTTTCTATCTGAGTAAAGACATTTATATATGACCCGCCCCAAAACCTCTTGCTGATATCCTGGAAGGACAGGCTTAATTTTTAACTTAAATGTTGGTCTAGGAAGGAAGATTTGATCAATTTTTCTTTTTAAAAACGTCATGTAAAAATTTAAAATACCAATTAATTCAAAATGCATTGTTAGGTCATTCTAAACATCACTTATCAATTTTCATTTGTTGCGAACATAACCGTTAAAAATAAAACTAAAGTGAGACCCATAAAACTATCGAATAGGGCAACTTCATTTTATCAATCCTTTATGTAATTGAGGTTGCTAAAAAGCAAATAGTTATACAAAAACCTTGAAAAGCAACTTGTTAAGTAAAATGGGCCCATTTAAACTGTATACTATTAATATAAGTTTTAGGTTCATTGGACTGGTTAAAATCATAACTAGGACCAGATTTAATTAAGCCAGGTCTAGAGACGATTCAACCATGTATCTGAATCCCTGATTCAGGATTTGTCCTAAAGTCCTAAAGAGTCAACGATAGGTAGTTCAACGACCTAGCTCAAATTCATTAAATTTGGTTTACTGTCATCTTCCTATTCCACAGTTTTATGGGTTCCACTGTAGTGGGTGAATACCTGTTCTGGATTATCCTGTATAAGCTGGAGAAGTTTATTAAAGTATAGATCAGGATCTTCAAGGAACTCGGAACACCGTGTAGGATGACACCCAACTGTGGCAAAGGTTCCTTCATACTGTTTAGCTAAAGCCACTGCCTGCCGACTCTGTTCCAAGTTTCCTCCTGTCAAATAAAGGGACTGTACAGGTAATTTAGTTGGTGTTCCCTCTTTTTACAGAGTGACATGTCCGATTAGCCATTTAAACGTTACAAAAGATAACGGAGAAATCCGTATTTTCTTAGTGAAAATTGAGTGCTTGGAAAGTATGCACTGGGATAGAGAAACAGTGAATCAATAATCAGTATTTAAGATTAATATCCACAACATTTTGGCTTCCTAGATCCGGATCAGCAAAAACATGCGGATCCACAGATCAGGACCATAGCAAAACCGCTAAAAATCAGTTAATCTTAGTAATTTTCACGACTTAGATACATTTTTTAAGGGTGGATCAAAGATCCGGATCCGCAAAAAAAATAAAAAATAAACCGGATCCTAAGCACTTTTGTGTTTTGAGAAGATACACCCAAAATAACGTACTACAGTTTGTGGAGAGAATGTACAAGTCTGCAACGTTATATTTTATGCATAAATTGCAGTACACTTTTTAGCACACAATGGATATGGAAGTTCCTTTGAGTAGTTTTCTTGAATGATTAAATCTTCAAAAATAACTAAATATTATTAACATTGATTGAGTACCTGTAATGATCATCTTCTCCACATTATTGTACTTTGCTCTCCGAAACACATCCTAATATTAATATTAAAAGTAAATGTGTTCAAAGCTGTTACGTGAAAAAGTATATACTTCTATTATTACTTATTAAATTCCGTCCAAGAAGCAACAAAGGAATCTAACAACAAAAGTGTATTTAATTTGCGAGTTTGAAGATGAAGAATTATTAAATGGAATATTTGTATAACAGTTAGGTGTTCAAATATTCAATCAATAAATAAAAAATGGCGGGTCTATCCTAGAGAACGAATTATAGACTGCCCCCCCCCCTGTACACGTCCAAAAATAATATACTAGGACGAACCCATAAATAATATTTAGATCGTTCTTGAAGGGGCAATTTTTTAACACTAAGACAGAATAAAGCCCAATCGGCAATACAGAATAATGTAAGGAATTTATTTTCAAGTAATACAGTTTGCAATAAATAGCATTTGTTGTCATCTTCAATTTTTTTCAATTATTACATCATTAATAAGCCACGTATAAAGGCCGGAACATTATACCTCTAAATCTGGTTCATGATATTTGGTTCCATTATATTCTCCTTGATACATACTGTCGGTTAGATTTGCTCCGATATCAATAAACCTTAACAAATCTTTTAATTTCCCTAATTTTGTCATTTTGTTCGTGAATTGTGCTGCAGAGTTCTTAAAATAACGAGATGCTCACTTTCGCATTAATTGCCGCGTATACTTTTACGTAGACTTGTCGTCTTTATTGTGTGCTTGATCAATATCAATCGGACTAATCGGAGTATTGGATGTTTTAAAACTGAATTGGGGTAGAAAAATAGTTCAAATGAGCAAGAAATGCGTTGATTTAAACTACAGGATATGACGTCATGTCAGTAGTTCAAATGAACAATAGTTCAAACGAACAATAGTTCAAATGTACCATAGTTCAAACGGCAGTAGTTCAAATGAGAATCCACCGAGTATTGTCAATCGAATTAACATTTTTAAACAATTGTTTGGGGTTTGCTAAGCATCAACGACTGAAATCGATATTGAGTGAACAAGCTCCTTAAATCGGAGAATTTTTTTTCATTCCTGCAGCCTGATCGCTTGCCGATCGAGACCGGGAGGGAGGGGGGAGGGCGGCAATAGCCATCCCCAATTTCCATTCTCCATCAGAAGAGGAGTTGAACGAGAAATTTTGACCCATCTTCAACTTAGTATAATCTTCTTTTGAATACTTGAAATATTAACATTTGATAAATAAAAGAATTTCAATCGGAATTTTTAACTATCATCTGTATGTCTTGATTTGTGAGAATATATACAGGGTGTTCCAAGAAACATGATATTTGGTGAATAGTTTTAAATGTCTTCTTTTATAAATTTTTCTTAGATACAAAAAAGAATAATAAAAAATATCCCATGATATTATATAAGTAAAATTAATTTCAAAGGAAAAAAATGCAATAAGTTTTATTTTAATCATAGTATGGAAGAATAGATTCCAAACTGTCATGCTTCGTAGGACACCCTACCCTGTATCTGCATTCTGCATTTATAGCTCCCGAAAAAAATCTTTTTTTAAATCTTCACTTTGGAAGACCAACCAAAAAAAAACATTATTAAAATATGCTTCCTGAGGACAAACCATGAAATGACCAATTTAAATTTACGAACTTAATCATAACTGCTTCTCTTCAATATTTCCAAATTCTATATTCTGTGCTATTATTCCATAATTTTTTGTTTTTATTTGTATACGATGTATATTGTATATATAAGGCACCCCCACGTCCCCCATAGGATGAGACTTCAGAAGTTCAGAGACGACAGCTTGGAATTTTACTAACATTTTTGGTTCCCTGTTCTGTGAACTTGATTCATTCTTTGTAAAAAAAACTTTAACAGACTGTTTGTAAGAACTGATAACACAAAATTCAACTGAAAATGAGTTGTAAACACAAAATCTTGAAACATGTTTCTTTCATTGAATATAATTGAATTTTAGTTAACAATAACATAGACAAAATATGTTTATGTAACATCATATTCAACTTAAAATTTCAAGTTTTGACACCAAATTTGTAAAAAATTGCAGTTTACATTGTTTTCAAGATTTTTGGGTTAAAAACTTTAATGATGACAAAAACTTCAAAAATAATTTTAGAACATTGCAAAAAAAATCCACGAAACATGATGTTATCGAAAAAATTGAATTCCTTTAATAATTGGTGAAAAAAGTAAAGTAATTTCAAGATCAATCCGTCGAAAAACATTTTGGTTGCAAAACTGAAACATTTTAGGTTTTATCTTTGCAACCTGAAGTTAAACTGGCCGTTCAAATTATCAATTTTAATATTTCTTGCAATGAGTGACATAAATGTAAAGCTTGCTGCAATTATATCACTAGATCAATCTGTAAAAAAAATTTGGTTGCAAAATTGAAACTTTTAAAGTCTATTTGATACCGAAATTTAATTCTGCTTTGACTTCCTGGCCGGTCAAATTATCAATTTAATATTTCTTGTGATGAGTAACAATGATGCAAATAAATTTAAATCAATCCGGGGGAAAAAAATGTTTTTGGTTGCAAAGCTGAAAAATGAGTTGTAATAACAAAATCTTGAAACATGTTTCTTCAACGAGGTTATAGTGTATAGAGTGATGATGTACGCTAATCCCTTACTTATTTTATAGGCCATAAATACCAAGAGCGTATCTGCATATTTGTTTATTATACGTTGATTCGGGTCTAACCTATAGTATATCAAAATTAGTAAACAGTTGTACAGTACAGCTAACTGAGCACACAGGTAGAGAACTATCGTCCCTCCTGTGTTTCTTTCATCCAATTTAATTAAATTTAGGCTAAAATAGACAAAATATTATATTTTTATGTAACATCATATTCAAACTAAAGTTGATAAATCGGCTTTTTACTTCCTGACCAATCAAATTATCAATCTTAATTTTTTGTGATGATTGACATAATGTTTACATTAATGGAAATCAATTTCAAGACCAGTCTGATGAAAAATATGTTGGTTACAAAGCTGAAACTTTTATAGGCTTCAGCAACCATAAGTTTAATTGATTGTAATTTTCATTTCTGCAAATCAATTTTTAAATCAATCTGACGAAGAGAAAAATTTGGTTGCAAAAGTGAAACATTTTAGGTTTCCGCTTTGCAACCACGAAGTTAAATTATCTACTTTTACTTCCTGGTTGGTAAAATTATCAATCTGATATTTTTTGTGATGATGCAAATTGATTTTTAAATCAATTTAGTGAGACAAAAAAATGTTGGTTGAAAAGCTGAAACTCATAATTTTTTTTGCAGCAAAAAGTTAAATCGGCTTTATCTTCCTGGCTGGCCAAATTATCAATTTGATACTTTTTGTGATTAGTGACATTATGTTAAGTTACTTTGAGGCTTATCAATTATAAAAAAAAAACCGATGAAATTTTCTTTAGGTTTCAGCTTTGCAACCGCCGGAGGACATGGAACATAATGTCCATCAGAGTCTGTTTTAGACCCTTTTAGGAACGATCAAAAGAAAAAAGAGATTGAGTATTGAATGTATGTCGAAGGACTTTTGAGGATTTTTCTGGTTTTGATTTACATTTAAGGTCCATAATCAATATAATCCTTTTGGTCTGATGTCGGAGACTTTGGGACAAATTTGACCCAGATCTTTGTCATTTTTTAATCTTGCTTTACAACTTAGTTTATAATGTAAAATCATATATCAGGTTGTCTGCAGCAAACATACTTCTTGAACCCATGCAAATATGCTTTGAACAATTTGCAATATTTCTGACCATTTTTGGGGTCTTGATGGTCTTTTCCCACCCGGACATGTAATAATCCTTCAAATACTTATTTTGTCCCTTCTTAACCTCATTAAACCACCATTAAATTTTAGGGTTCAGTTTTTTTTGCATCGTCTAATAAAAACATTTTTTTTGGTAACCGTAGCTCCAAAGTGTCCATTTTCTCTGGTTAGTATTTGCAGATATTCCTATGCGGTGACAACGAAACTAATCCACCTTCAGAAGAACACTTCTTACATCACAACAACAAACTGATTGATGCCAACCTAGCCAAAAATGTACCCAGTATGGAAATAGTGAACTTAAAAAAAAATTTTAAAGCTAAGAGTTCTAGACTAAAAGTACCTCTAATAAATTCAAATTTATTGATCACACCTCGTTTAAAGTTGTAATATCTGTGTGTCTGTCTGTCTGTTTGTTCAATTATAACTCAAGAACACCTTGGCCGATTTGCCTCAAATTTTTAATTGGAACTCGGGAGAACCACGGAAATGTTCTTAGCTTGGTTTTGAGATTCTTTATTGAGTAGGTCGACTTTTATTGGGAAAAATAGCTAAAATCGTAATTTACGACCAGGTGCGGGTAAACGGATGTAGTAACTATGAGTAACCGCGGGCGACGTTGGGTTCCCAATAAATAGTCATAAATAGTAAATGGTAAATAAATAGTTATAAACAATAGTAATCAATAAATTCCTTGACTAATGAAATTTATTTAATTGAGCAATACGTATAACAATTGAAAACATAGGTATATCTACATTAGACATGCATATTACATAAGTAGCTTAGTTTATATTCAAATCTATATATAAATTTGGCTTGTCTGTTTTCACAATTTAAATAGAAGATGGGCGCGAAGCGCCCTAAAAGCCTAGTATCTCAAATATGAATAAAGCTAAATAGAAATATAATTTAAACATGTTTTATTTAACACATTCAGTCAAAGCTAATACATAAAAATTCCCTAAAACAAAAATCCAATATTTCTAAAGTTCTTGCTTTCTCTTCTTTTTTCTTGGTCTAATATCATCAGGGGTGAAGACGACTTCTCTTCTCCCTTCAACTGTGGATTTCTTGTGCTTTGCCATTTCCTGGCAGAAACATTTCAATCAAACTGAATAAATTTTATATAAATAGAAATCAAAAATGCAAAATGTTTAAATTTAACTACAAGATTCAATTAATGAATCAAAGAAAGAAAAAATTGATAAAATAATTAAATAATCAATTAAGGAATAAATCAACTAATAAGTTCATGAATTGATAAATAAATGAATTAATGATTTAATGAATTAATGAACTAAGGAACAATTCAATTCATCAATTCATCTCAACTAATATATTCATGAATTAATAAACTATAAAGGAATAAATTAAATGATCAATAATTGAATAAATATATTATCATTTTATCAATTTATTAATTTAAGAAAGTATTGAACTACTAATGAACTAATGCATTATTGATTTATTGAATCAATGACTCGGTGAATAAATGAATATCAATAAATAAATGAATTACTGAATTACATATTGATGAATTAATAAATTCATGAATTATTAACCAAAATAGATTAATAAAAAAATAAGTTGAAATAATGAGAGAAAAAAGTTGATGATAGAAAAGTTTCCTTTGCTGATGGATCTGGATCTGCTAAACCGATCCTTGCAATCCGCTGAAAAAAAAATTTCGAAATAAAAAAATCTTAAAAGTAAAAATTTAAGATCTATTAATAATTTTGCATAAAATGCTTAAAGAACATTGAGCACTGCAAACCAAGATGGAAACATTCTCACGGAAAATCGAGCAGTATTTAATCGCTCTCAAATCGATGCCGTCAAAAAAAATTTGATGAATAAATTTTAGAGTTGTCTAGCTGTAGTAGATATCAGCGTGAGCAATTTAAGAGTTTAAATGTTGTCAAATATCGAACGTTTTTAAAAATCCAAAACAACCCCGAAAACCAAGTTAAAAAAAAAAAAATTCGACACAAAACTAACATTAATTTATTAATTTATAAAATGCAAAGAATTCTTTTTCGCCAAAATAAAGGTCCAGGAGATTTATAATTGCGCTTCTTATAGAATGACGGACTAATAATTTTACATTTGGTCAAAAGAAATAATATAATGTGCAAGTCAAGGGTGTAATGCAAGGAAAGTTTAATGCGGTCGTGTATACTGTGCGTACATATTGAAACCAGTTCTCTTTGGGCGGAATTTGTAAACAAGAATAGATGTATTAGTGTTCGTTTAGTATCAGAGGAGGTTAAAGGCATTAAATTTGATAATTTTGATAATTCACATAATAGTTTCCTATGACCAGAATATTTTATTGATTTTTTATGTGAAAGATGGATCCCATGTCAGACTGTAACATCCGTCTTGTGTTTACATTACCGCCCAGAGACAGTACACTGGAGTACAAAAGATGCAAGTAATCATTCATTAAGCACACTAACCTTTTAGCAGCTGAAAAAAGTACAAAAAATGAGTACATCAATCCTGCTCAAGTTCATGAAAAATAAAATTAAGTTAAAACCTGGTCAGGTTCGTCTGAAGGTTTACACTGTACAGTAAATGCTAAATCACCAGGAAATATTAACCAATCATCATCCTAGTTTAATAATAATATAAAATTAAATCGTCTGGCTTGAAGTTGGTCTTTAAATGATGTTATTAAAATAAAGCATAGAAAGAAAGAGGTTTTTAGTTGCTGGGAATCATGAATAAAGGGAACAGGCCTGTATAGATTTCTTACAGTTGTCTTTGAAGTCTCATCCTTTGTGGGTAACCCTGTATAATTGATTTACCGTATCCGAACTCAAGCTTGTGTACTTTTCCTCCGTCTGTATCTAAGAAACATCCTTCCGTCCTTAATCAAAATAACATTTTAGAAAATTTCTTTCATAAAAAAGTATGATGAAATATGTATACAGAGGAGAAAAAAATGAAAGAGTTGGTAGTATTTCTAGTTTCATTTTTATTCTAATATTTGAATATCGTCTCAGTTTTTGGATGAATTTGCTTTATTTGAGAACATTTTGAACCATACTTCTTTCCGCTTATCGTTCATGATAAATATAAAAATTAGATTAACAGATTATCAGTTTAATGTAAATTGTGTAGTGCAGTATCAACTCCACGTATGATGTAAACAACCTTCTAGTTAAGTTTATATTCATGCTATTTGGTAAACAATTCTTTTTTGACGTGATTGGAAGTTATGACCGATTCACTACCCTTACAAGCTTTGGCTGATCAAGAATGAATTAGATATCAACGTTTATATTTGGAATACATATTATTTTAATAAGTCGTTTCCATACAAAAAGGCTCACTTAAAGTTGGCTTACAGTAGATCCCTTTGAAGATTCCAAATTTTAAAAAAATTTAAATGTTGTTTATTTTTTTATACTTTTCTGAGAAGCTTCCTCTAGTATAGATAACACCATCATGATCATCTTCAAGATCGAAGACGACTTTCATTCCAGTCTCTCCATAATTTTTAATGGAGTGTTTGTTGATATGGAAAAGAAAGAAACCATAAGATTCATTTATTCAAAAAGTGTTGAATGCAAGAAATCTACTGTATTGTCAAAGTTATAAAATTCGGTGATGGTGATGAACCAAACCTCTGTAGATTAAAAAAAGTAGATGTTAATTCCACATTTATTCTTAAAAGGATTAATTTCTTTAAAGGCACATCCAATTATTTTTTGCTGAAGAGAAAACGAAAAATGTCTTATATTGAATCACCCCACTCTAAAAGTTTCATGATCCGAGCTGGTACAAGATGTACGCTATATAAATTCACTTGTACCGTCCAGTCTGGACTACCAAGTGTCAGCTGTCGACCCAGCACGTTTTATGCAACAAATGTAGCTAGAATTATCACAATAAACATAATGACCTTGTTAAACCCCTCATGGCTGGCCTCGATATATATCTCCTCCGACATGTCCTTCTCCCATACCTCACCCCAGCTCAACCCAAACCAGTTTAATGTCATGTACAGCACTGTAAACCACATTCTCATTGTACACGGCACTGCACAACTATAGTCTAAAGGGGTTGAGTCTGAAAATTATTAATAAAACATAAATAATATAAAGCTTTCATTTTAGAGAATCTCATGCCAGAAATAAAACTCAAGAACGAGTAAGGTCCAACCCAGACCAAATTATAGTTTCTAAAAAATTCGGAGTCAACATCTGCTATAATGTGGTCTGAACTAACATCATCACCACAAATTTGAAGTCACAGTTTTTGTCCTTAATTAATTTGTAACTATATGACAAATATTTTAAATAATGTTGGAACAAATTTATGTTATGATTTTGCCGTTGACTTATTAAAAAAAATTTACAACTTCCAAAAAGGGACTTTTCTGTCCATATATGAACTGTTTTACATTTGTTGTTGATTTAAAGTTTAAATTTTTATACTAATGCACGATCCTTAAATACTTTACAGTGTAGTCAATACAAAATGGTTCAGCAGTAAAATAAAACACTTCAAATTGTTCTGCAGAATAATAAGAATAGATTAAAACTTCTGTCTTTTCACAGTTAAGAGGTGCACTACAGCTGGTACAGGTAAATATTCCTGCCACCTGTTATGAAGTATATGATGTAAGATAACGTTGGAATCTCCGAATCTGCCGGCTTAGGACTAGGGCCGGGGGAGCTACCTGCCTTTTAAAGTGTACTCTTCAGAGAGTATAAAGGAAAACAGAGATTTTGTTTAGTTCTTATTTTAACAATTTATCTAACGCAGACTTCATATATGATTGGGACACGTAAGGTAGCAGTTTTGCAAAGTATATACAGATAGGATAAGCTTTAAAAAAAATTACATCTCTACGGGAATTTGGGCAACAGACGTAGAAACTGATGAAATCTCTTTTTTGCCAATTACAATTGCATTGGTACCGGGTTTGCTAAAAAATTTGCGAACTTCAATAAAAATTTGGAAATTATTTTAAAGGCACCTTTAGACTAATAAAAATACATATAGAACACTAGGTGACGTTCACAATAACCCTGAGGCAGAAGCCCAAAGGAGTTACGCGCATGCTGAAGAGTATATTGCATGGAGAAAGAAGAGTACATTGCATAGAGAAAGAAGAGTATATTACATGGAGAAAGAAGAGTACATTACAAAGAGAAAGAAGAGTACATTACATGGAGAAAGAAGAGTATATTGCATGGAGAAAGAAGAGTATATTGCATGAAGAAAGAAGAGTATATTACATAGAGAAAGAAGAGTATATTACATGGAGAAAGAAGAGTACATTACATGGAGAAAGAAGAGTATATTGCATGGAGAAAGAAGAGTATATTGCATGAAGAAAGAAGAGTATATATATGGAGAAAGAAGAGTATATTACATGGAGAAAGAAGAGTATATTACATGGAGAAAGAAGAGTTTACATAGAGAAAGAAGAGTATATGGCATGATTATTTCTTTCAAAATAGGTTCTAAGACTTAACTGCACTTTATAGACTAGGATTAGCAATTGAATTCTAGAGCGCGCGCTTCGCAACCCAATTTTTTTGTAAAAGTAAAAAATGTTAAATGTTTTTTCTTCGTTGCAACCATTTTTTTCAAACATTATAAAAGAAACCAACAATGGAAGATTTTGGGAAACTTTCTGTTTTTAGAATACATTTTCAAAAACTGAAAAATCTAAATTTCTTTGAAGCAAATCTTTTAGATGTCTACCGGTTGCATTGGCAATACAGTTTCCATGGAGTCATGAGACTTCTTAAACACAATTCGGACTCAATCTGTTCAGCCGTTTTAAAGTTTATTTGATATAAAAGAAACAGACAAGCCGAATATATATATTTTGATATGATGACGTCAGAGAAAGTTACATATTGGTTTCTTCTTGGGCTTGCCATTCAATTCAAACAGGCCTGCGTAGATGGCCTTCTCAAATGCCTAAAATATTGTTTTAAACAATAACATTTTTACATCAATAAAGATAGATATTTTTAATATTTATACTTGATTAATTCAATTTAATTAATTAGGCTTTTAATTAGACATTTTCTAGAAGTAAGTTTAGCTTTAAACAATTTTTTTCAATTCCCTTTTTTAAACATAGTTCAATAAGCATAAAGGAATAGAGACTTCAATTGCCACAAACGTTGATTTTCTAATTTCCCTAACTTATTGCCACCCAATATCGTAAACCTTGTATATATTAAACTATAAATCCTGATGGATTAAATAATCTAAGCTTGAAATATCAAAGGTTTACACTGTCTGGTTTTTAAGACTCAAAGTCCTTTGTATTACAGTCCGGTTTACTGACCTCAGTAACTCCATGGTTTAGTTTGGCTGATGTCTCAATGTAAGCAAATGCTCCAGTATCTAACACTCGTCTACTTTGAGTAATCTTATCCGTCTAGAAATATATATTAAAATATGCAGTTTATAATATTAAAGGGACTGTAAGCGTTATCACATGCAAAGATGTCAATGCCTAATTTACAACGATTTCCTTCAAACCTTTGACTGATTATTGAGGCAAGTGTAAATCTTTAAAAATAGCATGAGAATTGCCGTAATACGCTGGAGTACATAGTGAACTCAAAAACCGCTGACGTTAGATGTATATCGCAAAAATACCGAATAATCGTTGCCCAAAGGGTATTATTGAAAATCGAACACGCCACTCTGCAAATAGACGTGTTAATTGCATAAAAGGAGTGACCAGCAATGTTTGGTAGTTGAACTGAGATTGCAGTATTATTGAAAAATATTTTAGGATTCATTTGAGACCTATCAATATTTAAAACCTTTATTGATTGTCCATTTTGGAGGGATGATTTTGAGAATTGGTTTTATAAAAATTATTCAATGTAACAAAATTTCTACAGTAAAATAATTAGATGTTTTGAAACATATTTCTAATTAGAAATTTGACAATAAATCAATGTTAGAATCAATTGTTTCTTTTTCATCAATATATTGATTTTCTTATTTTTATGAATTTGTTATAAATTTCTTCAAATTCTTTAAATGTCGTCTTTTCATTAAAAATTCCAGGAAATCTACAGAGAAATGGTTTTGAAAATTGAGACATTACAGAAACCAATAACTGAATAAGATTACTTATTTTCGATGATAAGAGTTAATTTTTATTTTCTAAACCTGTTTCTAAACAACTCATTAGTTTATCGTAGAAATTTTTGTTACATTTTTCGTGGTCGTCATTGAATAATAATCAAAAAAAACCGATTCTCAAAATCATCCCTCCAGAATGAACAATCTATGAGGATTTTAAAGATTGAATTCGCGCTCTTGCTGAACAAATATGCATCGTAAAAACGCCTGAAAGGTCTCAAATAAATCCTAAAAAAAGGTCTCAATAATACTGCAATCTAAGTTTAACCACCATACAGTGCCAGTCACTCCCTTTAATGGTGTTTCAACCCCCCAAGAATGCCAAGGGTGCCTCCCTTGATATTAAAATAATGTTGAAAATCCAATAGGATTCACTCATTTACTTGATGTCATCACATGATTAAAAAAACGTTTATTTGATAGTGTTCATGACTATAACGTAAATAGATATTTATTACAATATTTATTTATTTTTAAAATGTCTTATTTTTTTTTATATTTTTCAATGAAAAAAGCTGCTTACTGGACTGGTTTGCAGATCCTTTTTCGTTCCTACCAACACAATCTGGGAAAATGTGGATTTTTTAATGGAAATTTTCAGCCTTTTTGATTTTCTAAACATGAACATTGAATATTGAAACAGACAGATCTAATTCTAACAAATTCTAAATATGTACAGTGATAACCAGAAAACTTTGAAATAAGAAGACGACTTTACTCATTACTAGACACTTATTAAATCAAATATTAAGCAAAATGGGTCTGTTTACACTCNATATGTAGTGGAAACTATGTTTATTAGTCTCGGAACAGAACTAAATTTTTCTTTTTAAAATACCTGAACACAACCATAGCAACATGAGTCCCTGGATACACAATCTTTCTAATCTAAAACAAATCATATAAAATAAAATCATCTGTTAAAAATAATTTAAACAATTTCTTTAAAAAGATTAAAATTACATACAAAAAATGAGTGACGGAGTTAATTCTCTAAAAACTGAGTGACGGAGTTAATGCTGTAAAAAATGAGTGACAAAGTTAATCCTGTAAAAACTGAGTGACGGAGTTAATGCTGTAAAAAATGAGTGACAGAGTTAATCCTATAAAAACTGAGTGACGGAGTTAATGCTCTAAAAACTGAGTGACGGAGTTAATGCTGTAAAAACTGAGTGACGGAGTGAATGCTGTAAAAACTGAGTGACAGAGTTAATGCTGTAAAAAATGAGTGACAGAGTTAATCCTGTATAAAAGCGAGAAAAAAATTCCGAAATACTAAATTTGCTGTTAATTTACTTTTGTATAAAATCACGAGTTATTTTTAGAGAAACAATTTGAAAAATCCGTTGCCCTTGCTCAGACAAAGGTTGAAAATGGTTGACATAGCTCTTTAAATTGAGGGATTACTTTAACTACTATAGTCCCTTTACTCCAAATAAAATGAAATGATTAAATCTGATATTTTCTTGTTCACCTGGTCAAAGTGTTCTTGTCCTGCTGTGTCCCAGATGGCCAGCTGAACACTAAATAATGAATATAATCCTAGATTCTATTTTATTTGAATGTTTAAGGCTCGGGAATAATTTTTGTTCAAAAACTACGCCGGAAAAAAAGTGTTGACAAATATTGACACAAGTTCTAGCAAACATCTTTCAATGGCTTTAAAATTTTGTAAATAAAAAAAATTAAGTTCTTAAAATTATAAAGTTGGAAAGCATTAAGAAGTTTGAGAGTTTTCACGCCGGTTTTAAGTGTTTAAGAAAAAACAACTTAACAAGGGGAATTTAACCCCCTCCCCCTTAAACGGAATAGGGATGATTAATATATATTCGAGAAGCTTTAACAAATAATCTTCATATTCTATATGATTTTTTTATTTTATAAACTCAACAGAAAAATTCTGAGAAGACGACATGATTGAAACTAGTTTAAAATGTCGTCTTCGATAATCTGAGGATGAAAGAAATGATAATCAAGGTGCATCTTACTCTTGATTTCCAACCAGTTTTGGCACAAAGAAGTTCTCAATAACTGTTGGTATATGGTTAGCAGGAAATCCGTCACCCTGAACAGTTAATTCAATCTTAAAAATACATAAGTTAAAACATACTTCGAAATGGTTTTACAAATTCGTTTGTAAACTTTTTCAGATTTAAACTGAGTTATCTACAAAGGATACGACTTCAGAGTTCAGAGACGACTTTTTTACATTCATGGTTCATGCAGTTTCTAAATGTAATCAAACCAAATTATTTCGTTTTATTTTAAAAGTTTTTGATCCTCATTAAAGTCTGATAAATTTATTGGTAAACTTGTCAACATTATCTGCTGCAAGAAAAAGATACAGTTTTGCAGATATTTCAGCAAAAATATGATAATATTGTACACACCTTGTATACGGCAGCCAAACTTGTCTACTCACACAAACAATTATAGATAATACATTATACAGATAGGACAAGGGGAGGTCACAGAAAATACAGATAGGACTAGGGGTAGTCACAGATAATACAGATAGGACTAGGGGAGGTCACAGATAATACAGAGAGGACCAGATATAGTCACAGATAGTACAGATAGGACTAGGGGAAGTCACAGATAATAAAGATAGGATTAGAAATAGTCACAGTTAATACAGTTAGGACTAGGGGTAGTCACAGATAATACAGATAGGATTAGGGGTAGTCACAGATAATACAGATAGGAATAGGGTAAATCACAAATAATACAGATAGGATTAGGGGTAGTCACAGATAATACAGATAGGACTAGAGGTAGTCACAGATAATGCAGATAGGATTAGGGGTAGTCACAGATAATACAGATAGGACTAGGGGAAGTCACAGATAATACAGATAGGACTAGAGATAGTCACAGATAATACAGATCCATCAAACAGGACTATAACTAATTTTAGATCCATCAGATAGACTTTGTAAAAA